TGTGTTCTGCATGTTACAAAGCTCCTTCAAGGATGTGACTTTTCTCTAAAAACATAACACAAGAGGCCTGTCTCCCTCATTTTACTCTTTCTTTTGTTTTAAATAGTTAAAAATTATTTGTCACTTTTATGAGATTAAATACATCAAACTTAGGAAAGACTTGAGGTTATTCACATAATGAAGGAACATTTTTTAAAAATTTTGTTGATTTTTTACAGAAAGAAAGGGAGAGGGATAGAGAGTTAGAAACATCAATCAGCTGCCTCCTGCACACTCCCCACTGGGGATGTGCCCGCAACCCAGGTACATGCCCTTGACCGGAATCGAACCTTGGACCCTTGAGTCTGCAGGCTGATGCTCTATCCCCTGAGCCAAACCGGTTAGGGCTGGAGGAACATTGTAGAAGTGATTCCAGGAGAGGGACTCAAACACTTCAAAAGTCCCTTTCTTTGCTGAGAGTTCATAGTTCCGTGAAAGATTTCAGTTTTTATATGTGTTCTTGTCATTTTATTTTTTTCTAAAACAATTTCCAAAAATTTTAAAGTAAAATCAGTCTTATAAAATTTATTGTAATGAATGTATGAGTCACAGTTCATTTTCTAAGAACATTTCACCTTTGGAGGATCAGATGCCAAAACTGAGCCTACCTTACGAAGTCCTAATGCCTTATGGGAGTGAGAAGAGATTTCACTTTTATAAAGACCAGAGATTTAAAAGAAGCATTGACTAAATGTGATGGTTGAGTTGGAAGAACAGTCTAGAAATCGCAGGTTTTGAGCATTTTATTTCCATTAGCCTTTACCAGCTAGGTAAGTTCCATTTCCCCACGGCTTTTGTTAGTAACAGTGCTGCTGACCACTTTCATTAAGCTTTTCCTGAGTGTCTTTCTAGTTGGTGGTGGCCAGGTTGCTGCACTGACTTTAGGTAGGTCCAATGTCAATGAAAGAAGGTTGCCCCCTTAGTAACTAGGTAATGTGATGATTGCAGCAAGAAAATAGGGTCTAAAATCCTAGACACGGACCAGACCAACACAGCCACTCCCCACTCTTGTCCACCAGCCTGGAGAGTGGGCCAGGGCTCTGGGCTTCGCTGACCTGGTGGGTTTCTCTCAATGCCCAGACCCCAAACTTTGGATGTGACTTGGTAAAGAAAAGAGGAGGGCCCAGTAGTCACTTCTCTAATGTATGTATGTATGTATGCATGCATGTATTCTGTCTCAGGTATCCTCTGTACTGTCTGTTTCTACAGGAAACCAACATGAAAAGAATGTTTTCCAAGTGGTGGACTTCGTTCTCATCAGCAAAGTCTGTGTCAGCTGCGAGGTGATCTGGCCTAACAGCGTCAGGGCACAAAGCGCAGGGGAAAGTCGGGACATTCGGAACAACACTGTGCAACATCTGCCACACTAGATGCTTCGTAGACAGTTACTGAAGGTGATACCTGGTACTTGCTTGCAAGTAACCATATAGCCTAGGTAGAAGAAGCGAGAAAATTCTACACAAATAACTGCAATTCAAAGTAATGTGGTAAGCACAGGGTGACCAGGTGATTTGTGGGCTAAAATGGGACACTTTTGGGAGTGAAAGGGGGCATATTACGTAATTGGAACAAAAGGCACAAATCTGTACTGCTGCAGAAAAGGGACGGTGCCTCCCTAGTTATTCGAGAGGTGGACGTATACAAGTTCACAAGAGGCAGCAAGTGCTATTTTGCTGGGGAAAGGGCTGCGAGAAAGGTTATTTAGGATTTGGAATTTGAGAATGGCGGAGGAGGCTAGGGCATGTGGCAGGTGCAGTGAGACAGTTGGGCAGAGTGTACGTAGGAAACAACAGAGTTCATGCGGTGTGGTTGGAGCATAGCGTGCGTGTGTGTTTTATGTGGAAGGTTCTTCCCCACTTGTTTACCTGCTGATGCAGTGATGTGCTGCTGCATAGCCAACTACCTGAAGACCCAGGGGGCTTTAAACAGAAACCACTTTATTATTCTGTATCTTATGATTTTTGAGGATCAGGAATTGAAGCCAAACTCAGCAAGCAAGGATGACTCTTCTGTTGGTATTGACAGAGCACTTGGGACTATTCAACTGGTAGATGGGCTGGTCTAGAAAGTCTAAAACAGAGTCTTTCATATGACACACTTAGGCGAGGATGACTGGAAGGCTGGCCTCGGCTGAGACTGTCCACCGGAGTTCCTACATGTGGCCTTTCCAGCATTGCGGTCTCCGGTAATGGACATAGATGGGGCGCTGACCAGGGCTCCCACAGATGGTTCCAGGGTTCCCAGGCAGATGCTGCAAGCCTTATGACCTAACCTCAGAAGTTCTAGAACATCACTTCTGCCACATATTATTGGTTAAACAAGTCACGAAGGCCAGCCTAGATTTAAACAGAAGTTAATGGGAATTTGTCTCTCAGGAGGAGGGTTGGTAAAGAATGTGGGGCTATCTTTAATCACACATGCCTGGAAATTACTTATTTTACAAGACTTGACTAAAACCACCTTTGTGAAGACTTCTTTAATAATTTTAAAATATATTTTATTTTCTACAGAGAGGAAGGGAGAGGGATAGAGTTAGAAACATCGATGAAAGAGAAACATCGATCAGCTGACTCCTGCACACTCCCCACTGGGGATGTGCCCCCAACCAAGGTACATGCCCTTGACCAGAATCGAACCCACGACCCTTCAGTCCGCAGGCCGATGCTCTATCCACTGAGCCAAACCGGTTAGGGTCTTTAATAATTTTATGTTATGTGTTCCCTAACACCTTGCCATATGCACCTTGCATATGTCATTTTATACTTCATGACAATTCCTATGTTCTCTATGTTTGTTGAGTTTAACAGTGTGATTCTTGTACATCATGCAGCAACTTTGCAAGAGAGCAAAGGTGTGTAAATGTATGGTTTTTCACACTAATATCTATAACTCAAAAGAGCCAACATTTTAATTCTTTACGTGTTTGAAAAATGAGTAGGCTTGATTTTCAGGTCTTCAAACTTCCTTTTCCATGAATCTGACTTGTATGTAGATGAAAAGCTATTGGAGGTAGGAAAGGCCCCAAGGGAGGAGAGTTCTTTAATGCTAGGACAGATGATAAGCAAAGTACATACTTTAGTTCCTTATTGTGGATATGGGTTAACTTGCTTTGTCAGCTATTTTGAGATAGCTTTGTCAGCTATCTGAGAACGTGTCTAGTTAGTTGAGATGGATTGCCAGGTGAGGGGAGTTGAAAGGCAGTAATTATTTGATGGCAGAATGAAGTAAATTTATTTACTTTACTTCAATTTTCCTCTTCCAAACAATTATAATGTAAGAAATTAAAACACAAAATTAAGCCACCACATAAAAAATGAAGTTCTGATACATGCTACAACATGGATGAATCTTGAAAACATTACATCAAACGAAATAAGCCAGACACAAAAAGATAAAATTTAAAATGTTTATTCCACTTACATAAAATATCTAGAACAAGGGCAAATTCATAGAGCTAGAAAGTAGATTAAAAGTTACCCAAAGAGGAGGGAATGAAGATTTATTGCTTAATGGGTACAGAATTCTATTTGGGGTGATGAAAAATCTTGGAAATAGTGATGATGGTTGCATAATGTGAATGTAATTAATGCCACCAAGTTGTACACTTTAAAATGGTAAATTTTAGGTTCTTTTGTTACATATATTTTATCACAATAAAAGAAAATAGTAAAAAAAAAAAAGCCACTATATTGGAATTAATCCTGTGGTTATACTGAGTTGTGCTCTTTGGGTTGGAGGTTTTGGATTGGTCAGGACAGAAGAATGTTTTATAAAATATACAAATTGTATTTCCTTAAAGAAGCCACCATACTTTCTACCAAAAAGTATGCGGGTGTTATAAGCATTCATGAGATAAGACATAATTGTTGTTGCATTAGTAACTTGAATCATTCTTCATATAAATTGACACTAGCCACACCCTTCTGACCTGAAATACCGAGGATGCCAATATGTAGGTGGTTTTAATTATAATAAAGGTTTATTTGAGCATCAGTGGTTGAGACTTTGTGTATATTACACAAATAGCCATGTCCCTATAAAAAATTTTTTTCCAGAATGACAGTCTTTATTATTTTTAATTCATGGAATGATAGCACATCAGATCTTCAAGCAAAAACAACCGAGGAACTTCTCTATGATAAAATATTCTCCTCTTCCCGATAGCTTGGAATGAAAATGAAAACGTGTTCTCTTTTTCAGTGAAGAAAAACACTTCAACAAAGTGTCCAATAAAAATCAAATACCTGTCAGAATGGCTTGTCTATTGGAACTAAAACTGGGCAGCTACTCTACATTATTAAAAACTGACTTACATGCAGACCTTTTTTTCTTTATTAAATAAGTTTTTCTCAGACATTTCAGATCTCTAAGCCTTACTATAAAAAATGTTACTCGGTTTTTACTAGTAAATCCACAACCATAGAAGGTATATATCTTCAAGATAATACATATTTTCAAGGTGCATATGAGCATAACTAAAATTCTTAAATTGTTAACAAATCTAGGAGCACTAATTTAATATTTCATTGCAAAATATAGGTGGTCTTAAGAGCAACATGCTTAGTCAATTTTTCTTAAGCTTTTAGGCTTGGTACCAAAATATTTAAAAATTGCCCTAACTGGTTTGGCTCAGTGGGTAGAGCGTCGGCCTCCGGACTCAAGGGTCCCAGGTTCGATTCTGGTCAAGGGCATGTACCTTGGTTGCGGGCACATCCCCAGTGGGGGGTGTGCAAGAGGCAGCTGATCAATGTTTCTCTCTCATCCATGTTTCTAACTCTCTATTCCCTCTCCCTTCTTCTCTGTAAAAAAAATCAATAAAATATATTTTTAAAAAATATTTAAAAATTAAGAAAAAAATTACCATGCCTCTGCTAATGGCTTTTCAGATGTTAATCTGCAGACAAGCTAAAATACTTATCTAACAAAGTATCCAATTATCTAACAATATTTGTCATGAACTCATAAAACAATAACACATGTATAATATAAAAGTAACATCAACAAAAATAGCCATAGGTATTTTAGGTCTAGATTGAGTTTATCTAACAAGGGTTACATGAGAAATATCATGTAAGACCCAAATAAATTTCAGATACAAAGTCATACCATGTGGCTTTGTACAAACACACCTAAAATTCAGGTTCAAATTAAATAACTAGGCTGGCTTTTTTATATCACCAGCTTTCATCAGGGCTTTAATGGCTCTTGCCCTCATCTCAAGTTCTAGCAGCTCCAGCTGCTGAGCAGAAGGCTGAACATCTGGTGGAGGAACAGTGAGGGTAGCTGCTTTGGGCTCCTTTGGGCTAGACTCTGCCAGTCCCAGAATCTCATTCACACTTTTCTCAATGTCTTTCTCCAGATCATCTATCTGACCAGCTTCACTCTGGGCTGTTTTTTCTGGGACCTCAGGAGCAGCTGCTTCTTCATTGCATGGGCCTTCTGTGTCGCTGTCATAAGCATCTGCATGTATACTGAGAACATCACTATCTTCCCCTTTGCCTTGTTTTAATTCCAGACCTTCAGGTTGCTTGTTCTCTTTCAGGGATGAAGAAGAATCTATACAGATGTCTTGTTGACTGACTAAATCAGATCCCTTTTTCGAGCCATCTGCCTCCTCTTCCAAATCAGAGTCCATACCATTGTCACCCTCAAGAATCTTCAATATTTTTTTTTCAGATAGGAGTTCTAACTGTTCTTGGCATAATTTTTTAATTTCTTCTACTGAACAGTTCTTTAACAAGTCAGGCAGCATTTTCTGTAACTTCTTCTCTCCGATGACACAGAAGCACTGCTGAAGCATTTCTTTTTTGTTTGATATGTAGAAACTAAGCGGTTTTAATGACACAGTCAGGTCCAGACCACCTTCTTCAAGATCACCGTGCTCTGCCAAGAATAATTCTTTTTCCAAAGTTGGTAAAAGATATTTGGCTTCCTGCGGCGCCGAGCCCGGCACCCCGGAGGCCGAGTTCGTGCTCCGCCGCTTCCTGCGCTCGCCGCGCTCCGGGCCGCTCCTTTTGCGCCGCTTTTCCCGGGAAGACTTCTTCCCCGTCATGATGCTTGAGCTGGAAAGCCCGCCGTCTCTGAAGCCACCACCTAAACCTCAACACGCGAGCACCGGCGTCGCAATCTGTCCTTATAAAATTTATAAATAGTTATGTCCCACACCTCAGAGTGGGATATTTTTCCTATGCCTTCCCTAATCCCTAGTTAGCGGTTGCTTCAGAAGCAATCCAGATGGGGTCTATCCTGTAACAAGGATGAGAAGGCAGAATGAAAATATGTATTTAATCCCAAATTGTTGGGGTCCAACCCCAGCAGGTCCAGGGGTTCCCAAAGGTGTGGACGGAGATGGCAAAGAAGGAAGGAATGACACGGAGGCAGCGTTCAGTCGATCATCATAGCCAGGTTCTCCAGCCAAGTTCTGTGTGTTATAGTCTTGTTACATCTGTATTTATACCAGTTGATTTTAATCCTATCAATTTCTATTCCAAAGGTTAGGGCATTTCTTATCTCCATTCCAGGGAGTAAAGATTATGTAGCTTAAGCGTGATTATTCATAGCCAAAGTGATTAACTACCCACCTGGCACTTAGTTAAGGGGTTTTATTCCCTCCCTAACTTCAGGGAAAAATCCCTACCTGGGGAAACAACCTTTCTTGGAGAGGTGACCTTGGTTAAAACACATAGCGCCAAGAAGGGGAGCAAACATATTAAGAACAGTATGCCATATACACCAGGTCCCTTGAAACATATGCTGTGCAGATGTTTCTTTCCTGCAGTGACTGTGTCAAGCAGCAAGGATGGACGGGCTTCTGGCACCAAATCTTGAATTTTCTGAAATCAAGCTAATTAGGGTTGATTAGGGGAGGGTTTCAAGTTGGGCAATGATAATAACAGCTAATAGTTGGGTAAATGATGGGCAACAGAGATTGGGGAGTTTGGATTATAAATAACATTCTAATATTGGCATTAGAAGGCTTAACTGTCCAATATCTATTTCAACTAGCTGAGATGAGACAAGACATTGAAATAAAGGAATGATTGCCCTGGCCAGTGTGGCTCAGTTGGTTGAGAGCCACCCTGTGCACTGAAAGGTTGCTGGTTCAATTCCTAATCAGGGCACATTCCAGGGTTTCTGGCTCAGTCCCTAATGGATGGCATGCAGGAGGCAGCCGATCCATGTTTCTCTCTTTCTCCCTCTTCCTCTCTCTTAAATCAATATAAACATAAAAAAAAAAGAAAAAGAAAAAGAAAGAAAGGAGCCCGGCCCATGTGGCTCAATGGTTGAGCATTGATCCGTGAACCAGAAGGTCTCCGTTCAATTCCCTGTTAGGGCACATGCCCGGGTTACAGGCTCAATCCCCAGTGGGGGGTGGGGAAATGCAGGAGGCAGCTGATTGATGATTCTCTGTCATCACTGATGTTTCTTTTTCTCTCTCCCTTCCTCTCTCTGAAATCAATAAAAACATATATTTTTTAAAAGAAGTAAAGGAATAATTGTGAGCTATTGGTTAAAGTACTTAAACAAGGAGGCCATTGGACTGTGGTGGCTCTAATGCCTGGTAGCTTACATAAGCAAACTGAAACCTAAGCCAGAGTCAATACACTTGAATTTGAGAAAATGAAATTTAAGAACTACTAATCACAACCTACCAACTAGGCTTCCCTAATAAGGCAATGGCTTGAGCTATAGCCAATCAAATGCTTTCTTTGATTTGCTACAGAGTCTTAGCTATAAACACCTTTCCCTGTTGGTGGAGTATTCCTAACCTTTTTTGGTTTGGGCCTACTTGATTTTAATCTATTTTTATGCAAATAAACTTCAAATTTTTGATGTATCTCAGTCTATTTTTTAAAAAAATATTTTATTGATTTTTTACAGAGAGGAAGGGAGAGAGAGAGAGAGCTAGAGACATCGATGAGAGAGAAACATCGATCAGCTGCCTCCTGCATATCCCCCACTGGGGATGTGCCCGCAACCCAGGTACATGCCCTTGACCGGAATCGAACCCGGGAACCCTGAGTCCGCAGGCCGACGCTCTATCCATTGAGCCAAACTGGTTTCGGCATCAGTCTATTTTTTAATAATTCATTGAGTGCTTTCCATGTGTAGACCTAGTTAAAAGCATTATTCTCTAGCCGAAACCGGTTTGGCTCAGTGGATAGAGCGTCGGCCTGCGGACTGAAAGGTCCCAGGTTCGATTCCGGTCAAGGGCATGTACCTGGGTTGCGGGCATATCCCCAGTAGGAGATGTGCAGGAGGCAGCTGATCGATGTTTCTCTCTCATTGATGTTTCTAACTCTCTATCTCTCTCCCTTCCTCTCTGTAAAAAATCAATAAAATATATTTTTTTAAAAAAAAAGCATTATTCTCTAATTGCTAGGCTCCATTCTCACGTGACTAGATAATGAGCATGTGTCAAAGTTTTATTTCACACAAGTGGGCAGAAAATGAAGAACACTTAAATGAGAACAGAGACTACAGAGCTTGCTATGTCAGCCACCATCACTTTGGCAGAGACTCAAAGGCAATCAGAAAGAGGAGAGGCTTTACACGTATACCTTGGAGACATTGTGGTTTCCGTTTCAGACCACTGGCGTAAAGTGAGTATGGCAATAAAGTGAGTTGTAATCTTTTTGCTGAGGGTGGGTCTTGGCTTCAATATGTAAAATATGCAACACCTGTGAAGTGCAAAAAAATGCAAAGCACAATAAGAAAAGAAAGGGGATGCTCCTGGTATGCTGTGATTAAAGGTTGTTGGCAAGGGGAGCTGGAGGTGAAGTAACTAGAAATGGGGCATCTCTGATTGGTTTAGGGAGCATATTTGGTTTTCTCTTATTAGTTCTGCTGCGTGTGTTCGAGTGGGTATGTATGTGCCTAAAACAAGGAAGTTGGGAGCCTTTGAGCAAATCCTGACTATTCTGAGCTGATTGCTGCAAAGGTTGTGGCTTGGTTTCTTATGTGGGTCAGAGTTTTATCATCATTTATAGTCTACCCATTGTTAATTTGTATATTAAGTCTCTTACTCTTGGTAAGGTCACCAGCAGAATGATAGAACTGATTCCACAAGGGTATGAGGAACTGGAATTTATATAGTCACTGGAGAAAAGAATGATTAACTGAAAATTGATACAATGCTGGCTCATGTTTCTTGATTTTAACCTTTGGGACTATTTTCTGTACTAGATGTTGGCTCCTTCTCCCCATTACACCTCATCAGGTTTTTACCAGTGAATATCTTGACTTACCAAGTTGTAAAACCTCGGCCCTACTAAATTGCTATTCAAAGTTAAATTTTCCTGAGTGTGTCAGATGAACATCAACTGGGTTTATTACAAAAATCTTCTAGAATGAAACCAATTTTAAAAAGCCACACAATCTTTTTGGTTTTATTTCCAAAATTTGAATAAAAAATTATGTATTATCTCAAGCTCCACAACAGTCTAATGCAATTGTGGTAGTACACTTATTCGCTGTGATAGTACAATTATTCCTGATGAGAAAACCAACACAGGTTGAGGAGTGACCAGTACTAAGTAATTAGACGCCAGTTACAGAGTAGTTGAGCATGGCTATGCTGCGGCTTTGGGTTATACGTGAGGAGAGGACAGCCACAGAACTCGTACACACTCCAATACATTGTAGGCTGTGGCCAAGGCCAATCTTTCTCGTCGCTTTATTTCTACCCCTTTATGTTACCTCTGAATTCGAAATCCTTTTCTGAGAGAGTTCACAGGTGTGGTGGTTGGGAATTCAGAAAGGGCTTCACTCCAGGATTTGCTACAGAGCCTTAGCTATAAACTAAGAGACTCTGTAGCAAACTTTCTGGTTGGGCTGTCTTGAGCAAACCATTTAGCTTCCCTAGTCGTCTTGTTTTCTCACTTGCAACAGAAAGAGCTGGAGCCATGTTCTTTGAAGTTTAGACGCCCGTCACAGGCATTTCCTGTAAAGTCACAAAAACCTGGCAGACAATAACCTGGAAAATCACGTTGCCACTTGCGTTAAACAGATTCCAAAGCAGATCTGGTAGCTTTACATTCCTGCAAAGGAAATATTTCCATCTTGGCGGCTGCTACTTGCCTCGCACCTGAGCCTGTTCTCCTCCCGACGCCAGCCATCCTCCCATTGCCATGGAGACCCAGAACGCTCCAGCTGGCTGATTATCCTCCCGCGGGACCCCTAGCGGAGCACGTGAGGACGCACGCGCATTGGAGGAGGCCGGAGGCGCCGCGGTGGCTGCCGGGATTGAGGTTTGAGCAACCTGATCCGGAAGTGGTGGGCGGGGCTCCGGGCCGAGTCCCTCCTCCTTCGCCGCCAGTGCACGGACCCCGGCGTGGCGGGGCAAGGCTGGGTGAGCGTTCGGGCCGGCGGGGGCGCTGACCAGGAGCTGGAAGCGGCCGCCACGCGGGCGTGAGTGGCTGGCCGAGGCGGAGGCGCGGGGAGGCGGCGTAGGTCGCGTGGGGCGGCCCTCCTCGCTCAGGTAGGGGCTGCCGCCGCCGGGCGGGGGGCGCGGGTTCCGGCCTGTTGTTCCTCCGGACGCCGCCTCCGGCGGGGCGAGCGCGGTTTCCACCCTCCGGGTGGCTGGGGCTGCCGTGCTCTGCGCGAAACACCTCAACATCCGAACAACTTCTTGGGAGCATTGTCTGAGGCCGGCGGTTTAGGGAGCAAACTTTTGGGTGGGAAGGGGGAATTCGCGGTGAGCCTCGTCCTCGCCCCCAAGTGTACCTTAGCAGGAGCTGAGCGGACCCTGGGTGTGGAGTTCGGGGAGCCACGGTGTCCCGCCAGCTAAAGGCTGTGATGGAGATGCTCGTCCGCGGACTGTTGTTTGTTGTAAGCTGCCTTTTGGAGACCTCGTGTCTAATGGTGGTTTCCTGCAAAGCCTGAAGGTGTTCTCGAAACGACTCGCCGCGGTCCATTTCTCTCCCACCTTTGGGATGTAAGCAGCCGCTTCTCAGCTTGCCGCCATTCATCGCAGGGTCCTTGGGTGCCGGTGGCACCTCGGAGGCTTAGGCAGCGACCGAAGCCCAAGAGGAGAGTGGAAAGGTTGAGAGAAGCCGAACGATGTTACGGGAAAGAACGTGGAGTCAGGAGATTGTGACTTAATGTTGGCTTCTCGGTGCCCGTGACACGTGGGCACGTGAAGTCCCAGAGTGGTAGTGTTTTCAGTGTAACACGGGCAGGGCTGTGTGCCCTGTGGACCACGCATGTAAAACTCGGCCAATAGTGACGGGTCTTCTAAAGGAAGGAGGCAAAGTTGGGCGGAGCTTTCGTTGGCGATAGCCATTTGGCTTTCTGCTCTGGGCCTTTGACTGTGATCGGTGTCACACTTTTTACACACGGGACTTTACCAGCGTTTCAGGTGTGGAGTAAGGAGTCATAAAGGCCACCCAAACCGAGGACTGGATCCGGATCGGAGCCTCCTGACCCCCGAATCAAGTGCCCCTTGGGCCACCATGCCGGGGAAGGCCTCGGAGCGCCGAGAGAGAAATCCTGGCCTTCAAGAAGCGTGCATTTGAGAACAGGAAAGCATTGAGCACCGGGCTTACAAGCAGTAAATAAATAACATGTGACCCAGAGTTACATGTTTAGACTCGAGGCTTAACCAGTGACTCAGGTGTGGATCGTGGAGCACTGAGTTAGGGAGTTAGGCTATTTGGGTTCTGGTCCAAGGACTTCCAGCTGATGTGACCTTAACCATAACTCTTCACTTCCGAGTTTACATTTTAAAAGAGTAATTAAAATGGATACCTTTGATCTCATCGGGTCCTGAGGATCAAATGCCATAAGCACTTAGGTCTCCTTCAACTTAAGGCTTTTTATTTAAGTTTGTGTTTAAATCATGCTTCAGAGCCTGGGTTAATCACCTGTCTTTACAAGGGGAAATAAACAGATGCTTCCTGTTTTAGGCTTGTCTCCCCTACTTTTTTATTTTTTTTAAAATATATTTTATTGATTTTTTACAGAGAGGAAGGGAGAGGGATAGAGAGTTAGAAACATCGATGAGAGAGAAACATCGATCAGCTGCCTCTTGCACACCTCCTACTGGGGATGTGCCCTCAACAGAGGTACATCCCTTGACTGGAATCGAACCTGGGACCTTTCAGTCCGCAGGCTGACGCTCTATCCACTGAGCCAAACCGGTTAGGCTGTAGACAGCATTCTCGATGTTGTTTCTAGAGCAGTGTTGTCCAATGGAATTGCAATGTAAGCTTCAAGTGTGAGTCAGACATGTAATTTACAATTTTCTAGTAGCCATGGTTTCTAAAAAATTTAGGGTAAATTAATTTTAATATTTTCCTTAATCCAGTATATCTAAAATATCACATCAGTGTAGAATCAGTCGAAAATATGTCATTAGCAGTATTATAAGTTCTGTTCTTTGTACTAAGTCTTTTCCATCTGATGTATATTTTACACTTAGAGTACATCTCAACTCTGGCCCCACTCAGTGCTCAATAGGCACATGTGGCCAGCGCCTACCAAGTTGGAGTGTGCAGTTCTAGAGTTTTAGAGAACAATTCTATTTCTCTTTACTAATGCCTAGCACAGTGTTTGGCACAATAATAGGCCCTCATTAAAGATTTTTTGAGTGAATGAGTCAGTGAGTACAAATGCTAGACAACTCGTAACAAGATAATTTTGTTTGGGAAGTAACTCTTGTTGAGACTTACAAATTTAGCATATAGGTTTGAGTGACTGGAATCTGTATCAAAGGTACTGACTTTTATCTTTGCAGCATTATGGATCCAAGCCTTTTGAGAGAAAGGGAGCTGTTCAAAAAACGAGCTCTTTCCACTCCTGTAGTAGAAAAACGTTCAGTACCTTCTGAGTCATCAACTTCATCATCATCGAAGAAGAAGAAGGCAAAACTAGAACATGGAGGGTCATCAGGCTCTAAACAAAATTCAGGTTAGTAAAATTGACTAGAACTGTTTAGTTTTTATTTTTCAGAAAACGGTTTAGTAATGGCAAGTTCATTTTTCAGTTCATTCATCAATTGTTAGGCACTTTAAGTAGAAAGGATGTAATGATGAGAGAATATTTTGCTCTTAAGATGTTAAAAGTCTTGTGTTGTAGTTAGAATTTAGGTTATCTTATTTTATTTTTAAAAATATATTTTTATTGATTTCAGAGAGAAAGGGAGAGGGAGAGGGAGATAGAAACATCAATGATGAGAGAGAATCATTGATCAGCTGCCTCCTGCACGCCCCACACAGAGGATTGAGCCTGCAACCTGGGCATATGTCTGGACCGGGAATTGAACCATGATCTCCTGATTCAAGGTTCAATCTCCTGATTCAACCACTGAATCATGCCAGCCAGGCAGCAAAATCCAATTTTAGAACATTTCCATCACCCCCAAAAGATTCCTTGTGCCCATTTGCAGTTGTTCCTTATTTCCACCCCAGCCAACTAATAATCTACTTTCTGTCTCTGTATTTGTCTTTTCTGAATATTTCATATATGTGAAATTGGACAATATGTGGTCCTTAGTGTGGGGCTTCTTTTTTACTTAGTATCTGTTAGACTAAAGAACACTAACTTGATCGTTTAATAACAACAGTATATTATGTTCATTGATTTTCATATGTTAAACCAAGCTTGAATTCTTGGAAAAAATCCTTGGTCGTAGTATATAATCTTTTCATTTGTTGTGGAATTCAGTTTGCTGTATTTTGTCCAGAATTCTATCCATGTTGGAGCATGTAATAGGACTTCATTCCATTTTATTGCTGAAGAGTATTCCATTATAGGGATATACCACAATTTGTTTATCCATGCACCAGTTAATTTTTATCGGTTTCAGAGAGGAAGGGAGAGGGAGAGAGAGATAGAAACATCAATGATGAGAGAGAATCATTGATCGGCTGCCTCCTGCATGCTCCATACTAGAGATAGAGCCCGCAACCTAGGCGTGTGCCCTTGACCGGAATTGAATCTGGGACCTTTCAGTCTGCAGGCCGACGCTCTATCCACTGAGCCAAAGTAGCTAGGGCCAATTAATAGACATTTATATTCCTTCCACTTTTTGATTACTATGAATAGTGCTGCTATGAACATTTATGGATAAGTCTTTATATGGACATCTTTTTATTTTTTCCTTGTAAAGAGACCTAAGAGTAGAATTTCTGGGTCATGTGGTAACTTTATGTTTAACTTTTTAAGGAACTACCAAAATGGTCGTGCTATTTTACATTCTCACCATTAATGTATGAAGGTTTCATTCTTTTCTTATTCTTGCCAAGACTTGTTATTCCTGTCTTTCTGATCATAGTCATTCTAATGGATCTAAAATGGTATTTTGGTTTTAATATGCAGTTCTCTAATGATTAATGATGTTGGATGTCATCTCATGTGCTTATTTGACCATTCATGTGTCTTCTTTGGTGAAATGTCTGTTCACATTTTTTGCCCACTAGAAAAATATTGGGTTGTTTTCTTACTATGGATTTGTAAGAGTTCTTTATATAATCCAGATGTAATTTCTCGATCCAATTTCTTATCACTTGTGCTCTTGGTGTCATATCTAAGAAATCTTTGCCTAACCTAAGGTCATGAAAATTTACTGTTTTCTCCTAAGAGTTTTATAATTGTTTTTTTAAAAAATATATCTTTTATTGATTTCAGAGAGGAAGGGAGAGGGAGAGAGAGATAGAAACATCCGCGCTGAGAGAGAATCATTGATCGGCTGTCTCCTGCATGCCCCCTACTGGGGATCAAACTTGTAACCCGGGCATATGCTCTGACCCAGAATTGAACCATGACCTCCTGGTTCATAGGTTGACTTTCAACCACTGAACCACACTGGCTGGATGAATTGATTACTGTTTGCTATTGTAACCTAATCCCTCAGACATAGAAGCATTCAATACTTATTCGTTGAGTGATTAAATAAATTACAGGGTAAGGTAGGGAAAAGTTGATAGTGTACATTATCAAATAATCTAGTTAAAGAACCTATATGCTTTCCATCTGGGGCAAGGACCCAAAATTTATTGTTTATGGAAATGTGGTTTTAACAATGCTCAGAATAGTTCCTGACTACCAAAGTATTTTGAATACTTATATTTCACAAGTCCTTTGAAAACTGGATATGTTACTAATGTTAGAAAATATATAAAAAATATTTTGTGGAAAAGCTATTTCAGATCGGCAGTGAGGCTTCTCTAAATTGAAAATGACAGATATTTTCACTTTATAAAGCAAATATTTTCTATTTTGTCATAATTTTCAGTAACTTCTTAATAATCTGTTAAGTTAATGTGCCACATTTAAGCTGTTATTTCCAACTTTTTGTTATTTTTAGTAATGCTATTATAAACATCTTTGTATCTTGAGCTTTTTTCTTTTTTCTTTTGAACTAATTGCTCAATAAATTTTCAGGAGTGGCATTTCTGCCCTAAAGGCATGGGCAGTAGCAAAAAAGTATTAGGGTTATCCTATATAATAAAAGCCTAATATGTTAAGTGTCTGACCATTCATTCGACCAGTTGCTATGATGCACACTGCCACCAGGGGAAGACACTCCTACCGGTAGGTTAGCTTGATGCTGGGGTCCGGCCTATGGGTACTGGGCAAGATGGGCCGGACATGCCCTGGAGCCCTCCCGCGGTCCCTCATCGGCCCCGATCGTGCACTAGTGGGGTCCCTCGGCCTGGCCTGCGGGGATCGGGCCGAAACTGGCAGTCCGACATCCCCTGAGGGGTCCCAGATTTCGAGTGGGTGCAGGCCAGGCCGAGGGACTGTGCACCGGGCCTCTAGTAAAATTAATACGTGTATAGTCAATGGAATTCCAAGAAATAAAACTGTTATTTCTTAACAGGTGTTGAGAGATCCTATCTTGACTTTTATTTTGCAGTCTTTTCTACATTGGGTATCTTAGTCCTTGAGAGTGTGAATATGAGAAGCAAACTGAAAGCACAAGCTCAAGAAATGCAGTTTAGGGGGTGTACTAGTAAGTCTTAGCTTGAAGATAACCTGACCCTTCTTAGACCTTGTATTTCAACAGTTAGTCCATGTTAAAAAAAGAAAAAAGTTTTTATTTATTTTTAGAAAGAGGAAGGAAGAAGGATAGAAAGATAGAAACATCCATAAGAGAGGAACCTCATCGATCAGCTGTCTCCTGCACACCCCCTACTGGGGATTGACCTGCAACCCGGGCATGTACCCTGACCAGGAATTGACAGCAACCTCTTGGTTCCTGGGTTGATGCTCAACCACTGAGCCACACCGGCTGGGCAACAGTTAGTCCATTTAATAAAATTTTTATGCAAGTTTACTTGTGACCTTTCTGAGTATTTTGAGATTTTTGTTAAAGTAATCCTACTTTCAAAACGTGTAAGTTGTCTTCAGTAAACTAGAAAATACTGCTTTTTAATAAGTAGGGACTTTAAGAGGAAGTATTTTTATTACCAGAATACATGTAGATGTAATACTCTTTTTTTAAAAAAAAATCTTTATTGTTGAGATTATTACAGACTAGAGGCCCGATGCAGGATATTCGTTCAAGAGTAGGCCTTCCTTTCTCCAGCTGCCAGCACTGGCTTCCCTCCTGCCGCCCGCACCCGGGACCCGGGCTTCCCTCGAAAAGGGAGGCCCCGCCCACCCGCTGCAGCCTGCTGGTCGGTGGCCTGGGCCTCCCTCTTTGGGGCAATCGTGGAGCCCCCCATTTGATTGCCCGCCCCTGGCTGGTGGCCTGGGCCTCCCTCTGTGGGGTGATCATGGGGCAATGGCTGGGCCCCCAACCAATCGCATTCCACTGCCTTGACTGGCCTGGTGCCAGTGGGTGTCATAGCCTGGTCCTGGATGGTCGTCCCGCTGTTTGACCTTAGGTCAATTTGCATATTACGCTTTTATTATATAGGATGTTCCCCCTTTCCCCCCATTGCTCCCCTCTATTTTTTTAATTGATTTTTTGAGAGGAGAAAGGGGGAGGGAGGGATGGAGGGAAGGAGGGGGGGGAGGGAAGCATTGATCAGTTGAGAGAGAGAGAAACATTGATCAGTTGCCTCTTGTATGCACCCTGATCTGGGATCGAACACCCACAACCTGGGTATGTGCCCTGACCAGGAGTCAAACCCGTGTGACCCTTTGGTGCACGGGAAGATACTCCAACCAACTGAGCCACACTGGCCAGGGCATAGTACTCTATTTTTTAGTCCACATAATTTGTTTAGATATAAGTTGCTTTGGCATCATTAGCCTTGCTTATATTTTCCAGTTTCCCTTTTGCTGCTTAATATTGAATTCTAGGAATCTTTTATCTAAGTTTTTTTTAATATATTTTATTGATTTTTTTATAGAGAGGAAGGGAGAGGGATAGAGAGTTAGAAGCATCGATGAGAGGGAAACATTGGTCAGCTGCCTCCTGCACACCCCCTACTGGGGATGTGCCTGCAACCAAGGTACATGTCCTTGACCAGAATCGAACCTGGGACCCTTCAGTCTGCAGGCCGATGCTCTATCCACTGAGCCACGCCGGCCGGGCTATCTAAGTTTTTATTTTTTTTTTTTTTTTTTTTTTTTTTTTTTTTTTTTTAATATATTTTATTGATTTTTTACAGAGAGGAAGGGAGAGAGATAGAGAGCTAGAAACATCGATGAGAGAGAATCATCGATCAGCTGCCTCCTGCACATCTCCTACTGGGGATGTGCCCGCAACCCAGGTACATGCCCTTGACCGGAATCGAACCCGGGACCTCTCAGTCCGCAGGCCGACGCTCTATCCACTGAGCCAAACCGGTTTCGGCATAAGTTTTTAAAGTGTCATTTTAAAGAGATTGGTAAGTTATTCACATTTATGAAGTTTTACTGTATGTTTAATGAAAGGGATACACACACACAATACATATTTAACTTGTCTTTTTCTTCTAGTACAGCCGTTCTCAACCTGTGGGTCATGACCCCTTTGGTGGTTGAACAACCCTTTCACAGGGGTCGCCTAAGACCATCCTGCATGTCAGATATTTACATTACGATTCATAACAGTAGCAACATTACAGTTATGAAGTAGCAACGAAAATAATTTTATGGTTGGGTTACAACATGAGGAACTGTTTTTAAAGGGCCAGAAGGTTGAGAACCACTGTTCTAGTAGAAATCTCTTAATCATTCAAAGTCAGTCAATTTTATAATAACAGTTGGTCTCAGAAAATTTTTTTCTCCAAAGTTGAAGGCTGTTTTCAGAGATTTTGCTCATCTTATGTAGAGTGCTAGACCACTTCAGTTTCACGTTTTCTGATGTTGTCCATCATGCTTCTAAGAGGGTTAGGTTCACTTTTCAAGTCTTTCACCGTTTTGTTTTTTACACAGCAGCAACAGTCAAGCACTTCATAAAGGAAAGCCAGCACCACTAAAGATACCACTGTAAATATAAATAAAAGCAGAATGACAAAGCAGGCAGTGTTCCAGTTATCATGGAAAGGGTAAATTTTTTGAACTTGAAAACCAAGGTACTGATAAACAGATGTGGTGGTTTCATTCCATAGGCTGGAGCTCAGGGAGGCCATTCTTAGGATTCCACTTCTTGTATTGTTCTTTTGAATCTATAAAAAGATAGAAAATGAATATATGTAACCAGACTCTACAGATTTAGCAATCCAAATCTCAGTGCTAAGATTTGTTAATAAATTTATATAGGCGATCTGAGTCTTCCTTATCTGCCAGAATTAATGCCTGAATGGTATTAATTCAATAAGTAAATTTAAAAACACATTTAATGGTGTTAATTTTTTCTTTTAAAAAAAAATGTCTTTATTGATTTTAGTGAGAGGAGCGGGAGAGAGGGATAGAAACATCAATTATGAGAATCATTGATAGGTTGCCTCCTGCACATCCCCTAATGGGGGGTCTAGCCTGAAACCCGGAAATGTGTCTTTTTTTAAAAAAAATATATATTTTATTGATTTTTTAGAGAGAGGAAGGGAGAGGGATAGAGAGTTAGAAACGTCGATGAGAGAGAAACATCGATCAGCTGCCTCCTGCATGCCCCCCACCGGGGATGTGCCGGCAACCAAGGCACATGCCCTTGACCAGAATTGAACCCGGGACCCTTGAGTCCGCAGGCCGACGCTCTATCCACTGAGCCAAACCAGTTCTGGCGGGAAATGTGTCCTGATCGGCAATCAAACTGTGATCTCCTAGTTCAACAGTCAACCACTGAGCCACAGTGGCCTGGCTAATTTTTTCTGTATCTATGCCACTGTAGTCTGTAAACCATACTATATGTTTCTGTGTATATTATTTGTTAACAAGTATGTATTTTTAATATTCATACACTGAAATTAACTGGGAAGGGAAAAAAGGCAGCTGCATTGGTTTAAAGTTTGACTAAAGAAGTGGTCAGGAACTCTTTGCGTTTTAAAGTTATATTCTTTAAAATGCCCTGTGGATCCTCTCACCTTCTTAGTTCTGTGTATTTTCGGCTCCTATTTCCACTCCTTTAAACTTCGAGGACAGGGACCTGAATCAGGGAATAGTGGCTGAGTGAAAAATAGTAGAGAAAGAAAAGTTAAATTAAGTTGCCTATGAAGAAATTAAAATCTTAGTTTTATTTGTGTCTAAATGTTTCATGTGCCTAAATGACCTATACATATATTTTAAAAAACAGGCAAATTTAATGCCCCAAAGTTATCATTTATTGAATTATTCCATTTCACAAAATTAGCTAGTGAGTTAAAGTTTCAGTATTCTTGCATTAACTTTTGCTCTTGTTGACCTGGGATTTGTTGCCCTGATTTGAGAGTGTTAAAGATTAAAAAGTGACTTAAAACCTAAAGCCATCTATCTCTATATATATAAAAGGTTAAGGGACCGTCCGACCGGCAGCTATGATGCACAGTGACCACCAGGGGGCAGACACTCAATGCAGGAGGTGCTGAGCTGTGGTGACTTGGCAGCAGCGGTTCTTGGGTGATGCACCCCCGAACCAGAGAGGAGGTAGCCGATTCTGGGTTACATCACCCGAAAACTGCCCTCTAGCAATCCAGGACCCTTTGGGGGATGTCAGAGAGCCGGTTTTGGCCTGATCCCCACAGGCCAGGCCGAAGGACCCCACCATCCGGAGGGACCTTGCTCACTCCACAGATGCTCTTCAAGCCTCAGCGCCGCCTCAGGTGCGGCTGGCCGAGAAGGGGCTGGCAGAGAAGAGACCTTGGGAGGTTGGCTCCAGGGCATGTACGGCCCATCTCGCCCAGTCCTGTTCTGTTGGCCACTTTCTAATTAATTTCCTTTCAATCTGCATGAATCCATGCACCGGGGCACTAGTAACAATATAATTCCTTTAGATTTCTTTGTTTCCTTTATAGATATAATTTTAAAACTTTGGGCTTGATAAATTGATATCTTCTAAGGTTCTTGTTTTCTTAAGTCAGATTTGCTTGACAATTCCCTTCACCTCTCTGGATGGACTTGGTTCCTTCTTTCATGTGTTTGAAGGTTAAGTTGATGATCTGAGGCCAAAAGTAAAGGCTTCAATTTATTTTTCTTTTTGGATTTAAGAATTCTTCAGGTTTTTTTTTTTGTAAAATATATTTTATTGACTTCAGAGAGGAGGGAGAGAGTGAGAGAAAAACATCAATGATGAGAGAGAACTATTGATCAGGCTGCCTTCTGTATGCTCCACACCAGGGATCAAGCCCTCAATCTGGGCATGTGTTCTGACCGGGAATCGAATTGTGACCTCCTGAGCCACACTGTCTGGGCAAGAATTCTTCAGTTTTATGGTGCTTGGGATCCTTTATCTTGAAATGAAGGATAACAGACTAATGTACCGTAATTGAACCAATTGCTTCTATTAGTTCTGGGACATACAAAAATATGTTGTCTGTAACCCAGTATGTGTTACATTACATCATTTTCAAACTATATCTGGAGAATTAGCCTTTCAAAGTTACCCTCTTCTGGCCTTTGAATTTTTTTCTTCTGAGCATTTTTTAAAAATATGTTTATTGATTTGAGAGAGAGAAACATCAAAGTGAGAGAGAAACATTGATTGGTTGCCTTCCACATGCACCCCAACTGGGGATCAAACCCAAAACCTGGGTATGTGCCCTGACCAGGAATTGAACCAGTGACCTTTAGGTGCACGGGAAAACGCTCAATCACCTAAGCCACATCAGCCAGGGCCAGAGCATGTTCTTATAGAGCAGTGATGGCGAACCTTTTGAGCTCGGTGTGTCAGCATTTTGAAAAACCCTAACTTAACTCTGGTGCCGTGTCACATATAGAAATTTTTTGATCTTTGCAACCATTGTAAAACAAAGATTTATATTTTTGATATTTATTTTATATATTTAAATGCCATTTAACAAAGAAAAATCAACCAAAAAAATGAGTTCGCGTGTCACCGCTGACACGCGTGTCATAGGTTCGCCATCACTGTATAGAGAGCAGGGTTGCAATGTTGACAGCTCCAGGGAGCACCATTCATATTGTATTGTGGGGTGCCATTCACATAGAGTTATATAATGTAGATTTCCTGATAGGCTACCTCTCTAACTTCTCCATTATTGCTGCCTCTGTTCCAATCATCATGCACACAAATAGTCAAGTAACCCACAGAAACAGACTAAATGGAAACATAAGTTAAGTCCTTTTTGATCCAGTCTTTCATGGCACACACCACCCTACAATAAGTTCAGCTTTGGAACTCCTTTAAGATTTTTAGCACTACTAAGATGCAGATATTCCTGGGAGGGGTAACACACTTTGTTACAGTTATTTTTACTTCAGTATGAATGAGTTTCAGGCCCTTTTTGAAAAGCAGAGCAAATAGAGAGGGAAAGGAAGAATAGTAGGTCCTTGGGGAAGTAGGGGACAGTGCCACTTATATGGGTAGGTAGAATAGGAAAAAATGACATAAGGGTCTATGTAATAATTTTGCTTGTGCTATCCCTGGGACCTTTCCAGTATTGATGAAAGTATTTTTTAGATTTTTGGTTAAGGCCTTTCAGGTTGATTCCTTTTTAATCTCTGGGGGGAAAAAATCTGAGGGGTTTTCTTCTAAATCTGCATTACCAGTGACTACAAGGAAACAGTAATAGGGAGGGAGGAGAAAGAGTGAGGCAATTTCCACATTATGCCCCTCAAATTAGTTTAATCTACCTTATTAATTAACTTTATGTTAATTTAAAGTGTTAGTATACTATTGATTTCAGAAATATCATACAATTTAAAAAAATCTAAAAGTTTTACCCAGAATCCTATCTCCCAAACATATCAAACTTTTAATTATTGTTCTTTCTTCCTAGAAATTGGCTATATAAATCTATAACTCATACATGGTTGAAATTATACTGAAATTCTTACTTTGTATTTTAATCTATTATGAGTAGGCCTTTTTTTTATTTGTTTTGACTTTAAAATGGGAGAATTTGTAAAGACTAAGTTACTTTTTCAAAATGAGATTTAAAAATGATTAGAAAGTTGGTTTAAGTAGCTTCATATTCTGTTTATTTTTGAGGTATAAATGAATTGCTTAAAATTTTTTCAGGCCCTTTCCCCCATAAATAAATAGAGGGAGGGAGTGGAAGGGGAGGAGAGGAAGTAGGGGCAGGCAGGCAGGCAGACACACAACTAAATTTAATTATTTGAAGTTAACTTGTACCCATTAGTGAACTATTTTTATGGTTAAAGTTAATATAGACTATCAACCCAATTGACTGTTATTCATGAACTAGAGGCCTGTTGCACGAAGATTCGTGCAGTAGGCCTTCTTTCCCCTGGCTGCCAGCAACAGTTTTCCTCTGGCACCTGGGACCCAGACCTTCACTCTGGCCACCGCCTTCCATCTTCGCTCTGGACACAGTCTTTGCTGTGGCTTGAGCCTTCAGTTTTTGCTCCTCGCTCCAGCGGGAGTCTTCAGTCTGGCCAGAGCTGCTCCCGTAGCTCCTTCTGCCTCCCACCCTCCCCCTCATAGCTTGATTGCTGCTTCGCCTGCAGACCTCGCACACGGGCTTCTGGGTTCCAGGGGGCCACCTTGCGGCCTGGCTTTCCGATCACGATCACGGGCCGCAGGCAAGGGGGCTCCTGGGTCCCAGGGGATCGTCTTGCCTGCGGCCTGGCTTTCTGGCGGCTCCTGGGGTTGCACACAGGGGCCTGGATGGTGGCTCCCGGTGTCCTGCCCTGCCTGCAGTATGCAAATTAGCCGCCATCTTTGTTGGAGGTTAATTTGCATATCATGCCGATTAGCCAATGGGAGGCATAGCGAAGGTACGGTCAGTTACCATGTTTGTCTATTATTAGATAGGATGAGGTAATTGTGTGGTGATATGGAAAGATTTTTAGGATATGTTAAGTGAAAAGAGCAAGGTACAGTACAGCATGTATAGGAAAGGGGGAAATATATATTTTTATTTGCTTGTATCTGCACAAAATCTTGAATATACAAACAGTGATTACTTGTGGGCTTAGGTGGACAGTAGATTTGGGGGGCAGGGGTGTGTGTGAGATTTCTCTAGATATACCTGGTTACATTCTTTTAGGTTTTTAAAACTATATTTTGATTGATTTCAGGGAGGGAGAGATAGGAACATCAGTGATGAGAGAGAATCATTGATTGACTGCCTCTTGCATGCCCCACGTTGGGGATCAAGCCTGCAACCTGGGCATGTGCCTTGATTGGGAATCGATCCGTGCTCCTGATTCATACTACTCAACAACTGAGCCACACCAACTGGACATTCTTTTAGGTTTTGAACCGTTTGACTATATTACTTACTCAAAACCAAATATATTTTAAAAGTATTCCTTACCTTTGGCTTTTAAAAATCTATTGTGTTTTATATCTATTTCGTACATTTATTGAGATTTCTGGATTCTAAAAAATTAGGATTATCAAACACTCTTTTTTTTTTTTTTTTTTTTTTAAATCCTGACCCAAGGATATTTTTCCATTGATTTTAGAGAGAGTGGAAGAAAGATGGAAAGACAGAGAGAAACATCGATGTGAGAGAAACACATCGATTGGTTGCCTCCTGCATGAGTCCTGACTAAGGCCCAGGCTGGGGAAGAGCCCGCAACTGAGGTATATGCCCTCGACTGGAATCGAACCCAGGACCCTTCATTCCACAGGCTGACGCACTATCCACTGAGCAAAACCAGCTAGGGCAGGGGTGGGCAAACTTTTTGACTCGAGGGCCACAATGGGTTCTTAAACTGGACCAGAGGGCCGGAACAAAAGCATGGATGGAGTGTTTGTGTGAACTAATATAAATTCAAAGTAAACATCATTACATAAAAGGGTCTTTTTTTTTTTTTAGTTTTATTCATTTCAAACGGGCCGTAGTTTGCCCACGGCTGAGCTAGGGCAAACACTGTCATTTTGATTAGACTGCATATCTTATTCATATAGATATGCTTATCATACATAATGCTTGTAATAATACAGTGGACAGCAGTGTATGCCATCTCCCAGGGCATTGTAAGCTTTGCTAGAAGCATCTAAGCAGTTTAGGAAAGAGTATGTACATGTCAGGTTTATGTTACAAATGATGACAGTGTGCCCCCTGTAAGTGCATTGATAACTGATGAGCAGCTTAAAACATTCACTTTCTAGTTAGCTTTTGGGAATAGCTGAAAATAGTAAACCCTTATAATATGTAATCATTTTTCACCTTATATTTCATGTGATTTATTTTTTCTCCCAAAGTACAGTAGAGCTCTAGTGATTTTTTGTGTTAAATTTAGGGTAAAATGAATTTACTTTGGATTAGACATAAATAGACATGCAAAAAGATATTTGCCATTAGAATTTTTTTAATATCCTGAGACTATATTTTTGAAACTAAAATGTAAATTTATATCAAGCAAATGCTATAAACATGCCTTTTGAAAAGTAAGAGAAAATGGCAAAAAAACCCACAACAAGACAAAGAAAAGTCTGTACTTTTTTGCATCCCCCTTAACCCCTTTAAAATTTCATTATAGCCCTAGCTAGTTTGTCTCAGTGGATAGAACATTGGCCTGTGGAATGAAGGGGTCCCAGGTTTAATTCTGGTCAAGGGTAATTCTGGTCATGCCTGGTTGTGGGTTCAATCCCCAGTTAAGGGGTATGCAGGGAGCAGCCCATCAATGATTCTCTTTCATCACTGATGTTTCTCTCTCTCTCCCTCTCTCAGGAATCAATAAAAATATATTAAAACAATAAAGTAAAATTTCATTACAGGAATGGGAAGTGTTAAGGTAAATACCATATACTTCTTTAGTTTGTTATTTTTGGAATAATTACCTTCACGTATTTTTCCTCCCATTTCAAAAGGTTCTAGTGAAATTATTTATGGGGCTAAGACTAGGAACTGTTTTGAAACCTTGAATTGCCAAATCAGAATAAATTTATGCTTTTGCTGTATTATGGTAAAAGCCCTTGAATTGAATTTTCTAGTGCCTTTTAAGCATGTCACTTTGAAATATGATCAATTAATAATAATGGCCTTTACAAATAGAGCAATACACTTAGCCTTGGAACTCTCTGAGACAGGCCATGCCTCTAGCCAGTTCAGTGAAACAGCAATAAGCCTACATCTGTGCTAACTAGAGATGTGTTACCAGGGAAATGTAGACTGATTATGGTTTTAAAACAATGTAGGTGGTAGGGGTTTTAGTTTACAGTTTACCTGAAATTTGAGTTACAAGTTAACTTTTTGTTTTTTTGTTTTTTGCAAAGTAGTTTTTATTTTATCTGCGACTCTTTTTGGGTACCCATACTTTGTATGGCAAACAGGAATGTTTTCTAGGTAACAAACCCCATTGTGCTGAACCTGGAGAGATCTAATATCTTCTTATAGCAACCTGTAGTCTTTATAAGGGACACTTTACTTATATTAGCTATATGCAGGCTAAGAAATAAAAGAAATAAAAATTATGAAAAAAAAAAAAGTTCTTTAAATAGATTTACCCAGCAAAGAAAAGGGCAGAAGTTGGATCTTTAGGTTAACATTTATAGGTAATATCTTTGAACTCTAGCATCTACTAAATAATGATATTTTCATGCTTGAATATTATAAAATTAGAAATTTGGTCAGCAATTGCTACTGATTTTTAGTAGACATGAATGGTTAATCTGAGCCATGAAAGTAATATTAGTACTTTGAAAGGTACTGTACTATCCTACCTTAACCAGTTCCTTAGACATATTTTTATTTCTAAATGCAGTGAATTAGTAACACTTCATATTTATTGTGAGGGTAAATTTGAGAATAACTTTAACATCGAAGTTACTGTTATATCTTTTTGTGCCATATGCAAAAATGAAAGGCTATTTCAAAAAGGTTTTCATTTAAAAATAGCATAACTTGAACATTACAGTAATATGGACTTTAGGATTTTACTTATGTAAGGAAATTAAAATGTTAGAAAGTCTGAAGCTCTAGAAATTATCTATTTCTTTATAATAAAATGCAGCCTACATAATGGTACCTTTATGGTCTTTTTATTTTTATATAAAGATCACAGTTGTGATTTTTATAGATTCACAAAATCAAATAAATCTGAATTATTTTCTCATATTTGTTAAAATATATCAAACTTTTTTTGTAAGCAACTGCTTTTTACTAGCCAATATAATTTGCACATATATAATCAGAAAGCTTTAGTCCAAGATTCGCTTTTAGTTTAGATTTTTCTTGAAGAAAAATCCTTTGTTTAAGGCAGACCAAACTGCTGAAATGAAATAGTTCAGAGAAAATAAAATTAGCAAATAACCATTTAAAATCAAATGCTTATGGTTTACTCTAAGGTCTGGCTATAGATCCGGTTAAAGACAATGTCATGAATTTTCCATTAAGGCACAGATGGTAAGGGTGCTCTCAAATAGCACAGGCAGTCTTCATGTTTCCATAATAAAATCCTGCCAAGCAATGAAATGAATACATTGCTTATTTTGGTTTTTAGTAGGAACAAAGCTTTCTGCTTGATTTTTATGGTAAAATATTTTTATACTGCATCATAAGGACATGTATTACTGAATGAAAAAAATCATATAAACCTACCTCTTGTCTGAAGGGCTGCTGTTGAAGCGATGGTATCGATGGTACAGTCTGTTTGTAATGCAGTCTAGTGCACAGCCAAGATGGAGCTGTGCTTCTATTGGTTGAACCACAGGGCAGCTGACAGTTTCCTCTACATTCATTTGCATTAAGTCCTGCCACCCTTACGAGTAAATCATACATAAACGTGAATAAAGCTGTCTGGGATATCAGCTGTCATCCCTTTTCTTGCCTTATTTTTTGTCCTTCAGCTAAATTCCTGCATAGGAATTTGTAAGTTAGCTATAAATTGATGTTTCCTCATTGTTCAATATTTAAGATCCTTCAGTGAATATTTCAGTGCTGGGCTTGAAGATAATGTCGAGAGAGGTAGTAACCTAGGACACAAACACAGCCCAGGGTTATCAGCTTTATGTTTTCTCCAGGAGGTGTGCATACAATTTTATAAATTAGATATATTTTTCTTTCATTATTGTGTTTTATTACTCGCATGTGGTAGTTTAATAGAGGAAAAATTCTGAGAAAAAAGAGAGAAATAAGGTTTTTGGCTTTACTAGTTGAGAGAGGATAGGTATACCACCCACATTAAAAAAACAGTCTGTGAAATGTATTTAATTTTTTTAATCCTCAGACAAGGATATGCCTTTTTTTTTTAAATTGATTTTTAGAGGGGGAGGGAGAAAGAGAGAGAGAAACAACCATCTGAGAGAGACACATCAATGGGTTGCCTCCCGTGTGTGCCCTAATCAGGGATCAAACCTGAAACCTGAGTATGTGCCCTGATCAGGAATTGAACCTGCCACCTTCTGGTGTATGGGACCATGCTCCAAACAACCAAGCCACGGCCAGGACAGCCTGTGAATTAAAATGGCAAAAGAACTCTATTTGGATGTTTGAAATAGAATGTTTTTATTTATGGTGTATTTAAAGTTGTGGTCTAAGCATAACAGAATCAAGGTTTTTAATTATGGGAGTGGCTATTATAACAATAGGCTGTGTAAATGCTTGCTATATAGACTTATTTTAATTATAGGTAAATCACATTCTGTGGCCATAAAATACTGAAAAAACAAAACATTTCAGAAGTACACATTTTGTTTGTTTGTTTTACACCTGAGGATGTTTTTCCACTGATTTTTAGAGTGGGAGAGAGAGGGAAAGACTGAGAAAAATATCAATGTGAGAGAAACACTTCGATTGGTTGTCTCTTCCATGGGTGCCGACCAGGTCCTGGGCCGGGAAGGAACCTGCAACTGAGGTACGGCCCCTAGACCGGAGTAGAACCTGGGACCCTTTAGTCCAAAGGCCAACGCTGTATCCACTGAGCCAAACTGGCTAGGGCAACATTTATTGTTTACTATAGCTAGTAATGAGTTAAATGCTGGAGACCCTCTGGTAAACAAAACTATGTGGATTGTGATTGACCATTTAGTGCTTAATCTAAATATACTCATCATTTTTTTTTTGTCCTCCCAGCTAGTTGTTTATACAGGATACACTTTATATTACTTTACTAAAGTTAAACAAGAAAACATTAGATGTACATTTATGAATTTCCATACTCTGACAAAATAGCCAATTTCTGATGGCATAATCTGTGTAAAAGGCCAGTTATACAAGGCATTATCACAGGGTTTACCCCTGGATTTGAATATATATCCTGCAACTTACCATTCTGTTTTTGTTGTTATTGTTTAAAAGTGGACAGTAGTATCTAAATATGATTTTGGGGAGGGATTTAATGGAAAAAATAATTTAGCAGGGCTCTTGGCAAATAGTAAGTGTTCAATGAAGCTTAGTTACTACTATTGTTATAAAGGCCCTGGACATCTGAAAAAGGAACCATATAGGTAAGTAGTATTTCATAATTTAAAAAATGAGTGGGAAAGTACACCTCTATGGCATTCTCATTCTTACTATTGATATTTTGGGAAATATTAGTAAAGTAGACTTTAATGTGTCAAGTAAGCTACCAAAATTGTAACAGTTATTTTTAGAGGAAAATTGCATGCGAAGTCTCATTTTAGACTCATGAAAGCATATTCAATAAAGCCTTTTCACTAATCTCAAGGGAGTATTGCCATCTAGAAGCTGTTCTTTCGGATCTCTGACAATTGTTACATTTGACTTGTGGTTGTTCTAATGTATTCTTTTGCTTAAGTTATTATTACCAAGCTGGTGCCAGACATTGACTCTCCCCTATTTTATTTAACCTCTGCTCTTATGTATCAGCCACATGGGAACTTCGTAATTTCTGACCTGATGCCATGCTAATAGAAAGTGTACTTCTGAAAATTTTTTTTTAAGTATAGATGATGAATTTTTTTTTACCGGTTCTTGCTTGTGACTAAAGGAATGCATTTGTGCTGCAGGGTAGCATTAGGATTTGTGCCTGTAAGAATGCAACAAAATGATAGATGTTCTGAAACAAATACTCCTCTGTACAGATTGCCCCTCGTTTCATGCTATCATTCTTTCTAAGCATCCAGGTTTATGCAGTGGCGGTACTTACAGTTCTTATTCCTAACTTATCTCTAAAGTTTACTTTAAAATAGTTATGGTATCATTCTTTTTATTTTATTAATGCCCATTTGTTTTAACTTAAAAGCAGAAATTGATGTCATAAGTGATAAATTGAACTTTTTTTTCCCCAATTAAATCTTTATTGTTCAGATTATTGCATTAGTTACTCTTTTTTCCCACCATAACTCCCCTCCACCCAGTTCCCACCCCACCCTCCGCCCTCACTCCCCACCCACTGTCCTCATCCATAGGTGCACGATTGTTGTCCAATCTCTTCCCTCACTCCCACACCCCTTTCCCCCCCAAGAATAGTCAGTCCATTCCCTTTCAATGTCCCTGATTCTATTACAATCACCAGTTCATACTGTTCATCAGATTATTTATTCACTTGATTTTTAGATTCACTTGTTGATAGATGTGTATTTGTTGTTCATAATTTGTATCTTTTTTTTTTTTTTTTTTTTTTTTTTTGGGTTATAAACAGAAATTTATTTTTCACAGTTCTGGAGGCCGGGAAATTCAAGATCAAGGTGCTGGCAGATTCCATGTCTGGTGAGGGCCCACCTCTTGGCTCATTAGCTGTCTCTTTGATGTGTCTCCCATGGTAGAAGGGGTGTCTTTTATAAGGACATCAATCCCAGTCAAGAGGGTGCCATCCTCATGATCTACCCACATTCCAAAGGCTCCACCTCCAAATACTATCACATTGGAAGTTAGGTTTCAACATATCAATTTGGAGAAGACAAACATTCAATCTATAGAACCTATATATATATATATTTTTTTTTGCTATTTTTCTTTTTTAATTAAATCTTTATTGTTCAGATTATTATATTTGTTCCTCTTTTTCCCCCCATAACTCCCCTCCTCCCAGTTCCCGCCCCACCCTCCGCCCTCACTCCCCACACACTGTCCTCATCCATTGGTGCACGATTTTTGTCCAGTCTCTTCCCGCATCTCCCACACCCCTTTCCCCGCCAAGAATAGTCAGTCCATTCCCTTTCTATGTCCCTGATTCTATTATAATCAACAGTTCATTCTGTTCATCAGATTATTTATTCACTTGATTCTTAGATTCACTTGTTGATAGATGCATGTTTGTTGTTCATAATTTGTATCTTTACCTTTTTCTTCCTCTTCCTCTTCTTAAAGGATACCTTTCAGCATTTCATATAATCCTGGTTTGGTGGTGATGAACTCCTTTAGCTTTTCCTTATCTGTGAAGCTCTTTATCTGACCTTCACTTCTGAATGATAGCTTTGCTGGATAAAGTAATCTTGGTTGTAGGTTCTTGGTATTCATCACTTTGAATATTTCTTGCCACTCCCTTCTGGCCTGCAAAGTTTCTGTTGAGAAATCAGCTGACAGTCGTATGGGTATTCCCTTGTAGGTAACTGAGTTTCTTTCTCTTGCTGTTTTTAAGATTCTCTCTTTATCTTTTGCTCTTGGCATTTTAATTATGATGTGTCTTGGTGTGGTCCTCTTTGGGTTCCTTTTGTTTGGGGTTCTCCGTGCTTCTTGGACCTGTAAGTCCATTTCTTTCACCAGGTGGGGAAAGTTTTCTGTCATTATTTCTTCAAATAGGTTTTCAATATCTTGCTCTCTCTCATCTTCTGGCACCCCTATAATTCTGATGTTGGTACGCTTGAAGCTGTCCCAGAGGCTCCTTACACTATCCTCGCATTTTTGGATTCTTTTTTCATTTTGCTTTTCCGGTTGGGTGTTTTTTGCTTCCTCGCATTTCAAATCATTGACTTGATTCTTGCGCTCCTCTGGTCTGCTGTCGGGAGTCTGTATAATATTCATTATTTCAGTCTGTGTATGCTTAATTTCTAGTTGGTTCCCCAATATAAGATCGAGGGTCTCATTAGTTTTCTTGTAGATCTCATTAAGTTTATCGGCGGCTTCTAAACAGTTCTTGAGAGACCTTAAAAGTGTGGTTCTGAACTCTATATCTTCCATTGACAATTTTGTCCTGTTTCTTTGTCTCCGCATTTTGTTATGCTTTCTTGGTGCACCCCCTAGTGGTCTTTGTTCGCAGTCTTATAGTTAAACCTTGATTGTTGTAGCTAATACCAGGGAGGGTTTGACCTCCAGGCCAGGTGGCTATGAGAATCAGCTGTGTCAGCAGTGAGAGAACTTCTGTCCTCTAGGGAGGTGCTAATCTAGCCTTTGCCTGAGGCTATCCGGCAAATGCCTCTGTGCAGGGCTTGGGCGGGGCGGGTCGCACAGGATCAACAGGGTGGGCCGGAGAGAGCAGTTATGGCGGCTCTTAGTCCTGTCCCCAGGGGCTCTGCCTCTCTGAGTCCCAGCACCCACTGCAAAGCTCAGAGAGAAAGCTGCACTCGCTCTGACCGAAGCCAGACAGTCCCGCTTCTCCCGTTTGAGTCTGGGTCCCTAAAGACTCGCCTGTATCTGGAGCTCAGAGTCTGCGACTCCCTCCCGATTGAAAACGCCAACCGCGCCCTCCTCCGCCAGCCCGCTCGCGCACTCCGCACCTCAGTATTTGACTTCAGCACTGCGCCTCCTCTGAGTGTCCGTATGCGTTTCTTTTTCCTCCTAGTTGTAGGACTTCCACTCAGCCAGCGTTCCTGTGGTTCTGGGTGATGTCCCTTCTGTCTTTTAGTTTCACTTTTGAAGTAGTTGTTCAAAGCAGCAAATTCCGGCGTTAACCTATGCCGCCATCTTGGTTCTCCGATATTTTGCTCTAGAACCTATATTAATGTTGAGGATTTTTGGATTGGCATCACTGAGTAGGTGATGTTGGAGGTGAACTTGGGAGGAGGAGAGAATTCACCACATTAGAATGTGCAATGGGGGCTCTCTGGAGAGCACATTCCAGGCCTAGGGAAGAGCATGTGCAAAGGCATAAGGCACCAGGGGCAGGATTGCATAATTTGTATCTTTACCTTTTTCTTCTTCTTCCTCTTCTTAAAGGATACCTTTCAGCATTTCATATAATACTGGTTGGGTGGTGATGAACTCCTTTAGCTTTTCCTTATCTGTGAAGCTCTTTATCTGGCCTTCACTTCTGAATGATAGCTTTGCTGGATAAAGTAGACTTGGTTGTAGGTTCTTGGTATTCATCACTTTGAATATTTCTTGCCACTCCCTTCTGGCCTGCAAAGTTTCTGTTGAGAAATCAGCTGACAGTCATATGGGTACTCCCTTGTAGGTAACTGATTTTCTTTCTCTTGCTGCTTTTAGGATTCTCTCTTTGTCTTTGCTCTTGGCATTTTAATTATGATGTGTCTTGGTGTGGTCCTCTTTGGATTCCTTTTGTTTGGGGTTCTCTGTGCTTCCTGGACTTGGAAGTCTATTTCTTTCACCAGGTAGGGGAAGTTTTCTGTCATTATTTCTTCAAATAGGTTTTCAGTATCTTGCTCTCTCTCATCTTCTGGCACCCCTATAATTCAGATGTTGGTACGCTTGAAGCTGTCCCAGAGGCTCCTTACACTATCTTCGTATTTTTGGATTCTTTTTTCATTTTGCTTTTCCGGTTGGGTGTTTTTTGCTTCTTCGTATTTCAAATCTTTGACTTGATTCTTGCGATCCTCTGGTCTGCTGTTGGGAGTCTGTATAATATCCTGTATTTCAGTCCGTGTATGCTTAATTTCTAGTTGGTTCTTTATCACAACATCGAGGGTCTCATTAGATTTCTTGAGGCTCTCACTACATTTATCGGCGGTCTCACCAGTCTTTTTGAGGGCCTTATTAAATTTATCGGCGGCTTCTAGACAATTCTTTAAAGACCTTAAAAGTGTGGTTTTGAACTCTATATCCAACAGTTTGCTTTCCTCCAATTCTGTCGTTTGTGTCCTGTTTCTTTGTCTCGGCATTTTTTATGCTTCGCTGTGTCGATAGAGTGCCTTTCTGTGCTAAGTGTCCCAATTACCTGAGGTAGACACTCTTGGTGCACCCCCTTGTGGGCTTTGTGCACAGTCTTGTTGTAGTTAAGCCTTGATTGTTGTAGTTATCACTGTGAGGAATTGACCTCCAGGGCAATTGGCTGTGAGAATCAGCTGTGTCTGCAGTGGGAGAACTTCTGTGCTGGAGACACCCCTCTGGGGCTAGACTTGCTTCGATGGGGCTTTGGTGCTCACTCGATAAATTGAACTTTTTATCCCCAGAAGTAACCACTTCTCATGGTTTTAAATTTGTTAGAAAAGCACTATGGCCAGTGTGGTTAGAATGTTAGGCTGGCACACTGAAGGGTCTTGGTTGGATTCCAGATCGAAAACATCTACCTGGCTGTGGCTGGTTGCTGAGTCGTTAGAGCGCCAATCCTGAGAACCGAAGGGTTGATTTCTGTTCAAGGGCTTGTACCTTGGTTTCAGGTTCAATCCCTAGTCCTGGTCAGGGCAGGTTTGGGAGGCAACCAGTTGTGTCTCTCTCACATCAATGTTTCTGCCTCTTCCCGCCTTTCCACACTCTCTAAATGATAATAGAAAAAATATCTTGGGTGAAGATCAAAAAAAGAAGAAGAAGCCATGTACTTGAGTTGCAGGTTCAGATCCCCACCCTGGTTGGGGCGCGTGGGGGAGACAACCAATCTGTGTGTGTCTTTCACATCGATGTTTCTCTCTCTCTTCTTCCCTCCCTTCTACTCTCTAAAAATTATTGAAAAAAAAATCCTCTGGTGAGGATTAAAAAAAAAAAATTAAAAAGAAAAGCACTAGTGATCAGATTGAGATCTGTACTGTGTTTTGTTTAAAAAGTCTTGCTTCTATTTATGGGGGAAATCTAATCAGAATTAAGGAAAGAGTGAGATAAAGGTACTTACAAAAGAAATAGATTTTAATGCTTTTGAATTATGCATATTTTGTTCCCATCCTTAGTGAGACAATGGGCAGTTAATTATACACTCAAGGATTTTAACTTTTCACCAAGTTTTATAGTATAGAATTCACTGGATAGAAAATCTCAAACAAGGAAAATCTTTATCTGAATTAAAGCCATCTTAGCTGTTTTAAAAAGTCATCTTAGGTGCTTACAAGTCATAATCACATCTAATATGAAAATGTTATTTTTTTTGAACTTTGTTTTCAGATCATAGCAATGGATCATTTAACTTGAAAGCTCTTTCAGGAAGCTCTGGATATAAGTTTGGCGTTCTTGCTAAGATAGTGAATTATATGAAAGTAAGTACTTTTTTCAGATAACAAAATCCTATTTAATCTCTTGGCAGAAGGGGATTGGGATTTTCAGAAGTAAATTTATATATATATATATATATATATGTATATATATATATATGTCACATTAAAAAAATTGTATATTTCAACATATGTAGTTTATTTTATGCCTATTAATATCTCTAAACTGTAAAAATAATGTTTTAAGCCTTTTATATCTAACTAGAGGTTCGGTGCACGAAATTTGTGCGGCGGGGGTGGGGGGGTTGTCCCTCAGCCTGGCCTGCACCCTCTCGCAGTCCAGGACCCCTTGGGGGATGTCTGACTGCCGGTTTAGGCCTGATCCAGTAGGACATCCCTCTCGTAATCCAGGACCACTGGCTCCTAACCACTCTCCTGCCTGCCTGCCTGATCGCCCCTAACCACTTGCCTGCCTGCCTTATCACCCTTAACCACTTGCCTGCCTACCTCATCACCCCTCACCTCTCTGCCGGCCTGCCTCATCACCCCTAACCACTCGCCTGCCTGCCTGATTGCCCCTAACTGCTTGCCTGCCTGTCTGATCGCCCCTAACTGCCTCTGCCTCAGCCATTGTGGCTTCATCTGGAAAGACGTCTGGAAGGCCGTTTGGCTGTCCTGTCTAATTAGCATATTATACTTTTATTATTATAGAAGATTGACATTGCAGTGAGTCACCTAAGTATATTTAATTTGCATTAATTCAAGGATAAGTCAATACCTGTTTACAAAATCCCTAAGAAGAGAATATTACTTCCATTGATATGAAAAGTAGAAACTACATAGTTCAGGCAGGTGGAGGTGATGGCTTTTCTACATCTTGGAGGAGAAAATTAGAATTACTGAGGGTCTTAGAAAAACATTAATTCACAAAATAATTTGAATTTAATGTTTGATGGAAGATTTAGTATTTTTTTGAAATAAGCTTAATGATTATAACATTTTGGCTTTCTAAAGGCTTTGAATCCTAACTTACTAAGTAAAATTTAATTTATAACTAGGATGGTTACTTGATTTCAAATTTGTACCCTTCATTTAGCAAACTCTTATTCCCATTTAGTTAGTAGTTGTATCTCTTGAAAAGAGTCAAAGTTCTGTATTTATAATTATTTCAAATTTCAGCTATCATTTAAAAACTATAAATCAAGATTTTATGCTGAGACTTTCATAATTTAAGAGTCTTAGTGTCTGCCTATGTCCACTTAATTTCTAGTAGAAACCTGGTTTATAATTTCCCATTACCAAATACTATATTTTGACACTTACATATTCACCATTAATTTCATCTATCCATTACTACACTTGATAAACAATTCTTAAAACCCACTATATACTGTTTGTAGCACTAAAGGTGGGAATACCCAGGAAAAAAATGTATGTCCTTGTGGCTGTCCGTCTGTTGAGGGAGACTGACATTTAAATGTCTTGTTTTTGCTCTTTTGCTAATAGTCTTCACTTACATAGATGACCCTTACTGTAATTTGGCTTATCTAGGATAGTGTTCAAATTTTTACTCCTGTTCCCTGAAACAGTTTTGAAAAGTTGTGTATCCCTTTGCACATATTTAAATTGATAACTACAATTTTTCAGCAAAAGTGGCAAAGGATAGAATTTCTCGCATATTGTAATATTTTTTTTTTTTTTTTTTTTTATATTTTATTGATTTTTTACAGAGAGGAAGGGAGAGAGATAGAGAGTTAGAAACATCGATGAGAGAGAAACATCGATCAGCTGCCTCCTGCACATCTCCTACTGGGGATATGCCCGCAACCCAGGTACATGCCCCTGACCGGAATCGAACCTGGGACCTTCCAGTCCGCAGGCCGACGCTCTATCCACTGAGCCAAGCCGGTTTCGGCACATATTGTAATATTTTAATGAAATAAATCATTCTTTTTTATATTTAACAAAATCTAAATGCCATCATTAATTTAAAAATAAAAAACAAAGCCCTGATGAGTGTGGCTCAGTTGGTTGAGCATTGTTCCAGGCAGAGGTCACCAGTTCGATTCCCAGTCAGGATACATGCCCAGGTTTGGGGCTCAATTGCCATTAGAGGGCGTACAGGGGCAGCTGGTTGATGGTTCTTTCTCTTTTTCTTTCTCTCTCTCTCTCAAATCAATAAAAACATTTAAAAAATTAAAACAAAGCTCAATGGTTGGAAATTTATTTTCCCCTCGAACTTGTTGGTCCATCCTGTTACTCCCTCTATACTATATGCTAATGTTATGTATTTTTATGCTTGAAAATCTTTTATTGAATATCTATCAAACTTCTTTGCCACAATTATTTACATATATGTATATGTACACATTATACACACACACATACACACACACACATATAAACTAGGGGCGCAGTGCACGAATTCGTGCACCTTGAACTGGGCTGCAAGGCTGCGGTGGGCACAGGGGCAGGTCTTGGCCCATCCTCTGTTCCCCCTCCTGCTGTGGCCCCTGGTCCCTTGTCTGCCAGCAGCCCCACTCCTGCCGCTGCTACTCCCATGCGCTGATGGCACCAGCCCCGCTTGCAGCTGCTGACCGCGTGAAGCCATTGAGGTTGGCGCCAGCAGTGGTGCAAGCAGGGCCAGCGCCGTCAGCGGGTGCGAATGGCGGCTGCTGCCCTGATTGCCCCTCAGGAGCAGGAGGAGCTAGAGAAGCCCTCAGGGGTGATCGGGGTCAGCAGCCGCCACTTGCACCTGCTGCTGGTGCCGGGCATCAGCAGCAGGTGCGAGTGGCAGCTCTGGTGCTGGCAGCGGGTGTGAGCGGGACTGGCACCAGCAGCAGGTGCGAGCACTGGTTGGGACCGTGGTGTGCAGGAGCAAAGAATTTTCAGTAACCACCAGAGGCTCTCCCTGATGACAGCAACTGGCGCCCCGACTTGGTCTGGCGCTCCCGCTTACCTGCTCCACTGTCCCGCCATGGACGATGTCTGCCATGTTCTGTGCTCTGCCGCTTGCTACCGACGCCTGCCATGTTCCATGCGCACCCCTAGTGGTCAGTGCACACCATAGTGACCAGTTGTTCTGCCGTTTGGTCTATTTGCATGTTAGGGTTTTATATATATAGACTAGAGGCCCGGTGCACAAAAATTTGTGCACTCGCAGGGGAGGGTTCCCCTCACCCCGGCCTGCGCCCATTTGTAGTCCAGGACCTCTTGGGGGATGTCCACCTATCGACTTAGGCCCACTCCCTGGGAGATCAGGCCTAAGCTTGCAGTCAGATATCCTTCTGGCAGCCAGGGAGCCCTTGGGGGATGTCCGACTAAAGGCTTAGACCCCCAAGGGAGCTGTGATGAGGAAGCTGGGGTGACAGAGGAGCCACGCTGTCCCGCCCGGCCGCCCTGGGTCAGGTCGCACACGGGACGCCCAGACGGGCCGGCCAATCGCTGCTGTCCCACCTGGCCGCCCTGGGTTGGGTCGCACACGGAACGCCCGCCGCCCCAGGTCGCAGATAGCAGGCCCGGATGGCGGTAGGGCAGGTGGGATGGTGCTGTCCCACCCCACCACCCCAGGTGGCAAATAGCAGGCCCGGATGGCGGCAGTTAATTTGCATGTCACACTGCTAAGCTCGCACCTGCTGCTTAGCCAATGAGAGGTGCAGCAAAGGTATGGTCAGTTACCCTGTTTGTCTATTAGATAGGATTAGAAATGTTTTCCTTGTGACTGTAATGCTCTAGGTATTAAAAATACCTTGGTTTGAGGTATTATAATTATTAGCACACAGTTGATTAGAATAACATGAAAATTTTATTAAAATTTACTTTGAAATAATTATTCAATAGAAATTCATTTTTTTAAAATGAAATGAGCCCTAGTCAGTGTTCTCAACGGTTATAGTGTTGCCCCGCACACTGAAGGGTTGTGTGTTTGATTCCGGGTTAAGGCCACTTACCTGGGTTGCAGGTTTGATCCCCAGCCCCAGTCAGGGTGCTTGTGGGAGGCAATCAGTCACTGTCTTTGTCTCCTCCTCCATCCCTCCATCCTTCCCTTCCAGTCTCTCTGAAAAGCAATGGAAAAAATATCCTCAGGTGAGGATTAACAACAACAAAAAATTTTTGTTTTAATAAAATGAATGGTGCTGTCTTCTTCCACCAGTGGTTCTTGTATCTGGAGAGAGATACATATATAAAAGTTAATTATTGATAGAATGAAACAGGATTTGGCAACAATTTCTGCTCTTATTTTTAGATTTTATAGGTTTAAGTGCTGAGAAATAAATGGTTATATAAATATATATTCTAATGGAAGTTTTGTGATAGCAAAATCTTGTAAGTTATATGCAAAAACTCAGTGATTTATCATCAAGCATCCATCAGTTGACAGTTCTTTTAGGCTCTCCTTCAGTTTTGTTGAAAGCAAAATAACGTGAACTGCCTAACTTGCTAAAGGATTTGTTTGTTACCTGGTCCTTAACCATTGGCTTTTTTAGTTTCTAGGAGTTTATCAAAAAGGCTTGACCAGGACTTAGCAAGTGCCTCATTATATCATTTCCCCCTCTTCCCCTGTAGGCACTCTTTAATCTGTTACACTCAGAAGTGGTTGAGAAAATAAAAATATTAATTTCAGTACACCTTTGCCAATGTAATTTTCCATAAAATGCTTTTATCTTACGTATGTAAATACATTTTTGTCAAAACCCTCAGGCTGAAGGCTTAGCTTATTTGATTTATGGAAAGTATCTCTCGATTAATGAAACTAGTCTCCATTGTCAAACCAACTAGCTATATCATAAAATATCTTCTTTTAAGTTCAAATAAATAGGTTAATACACATTTTAAATATGTTTTAATTGATTTCAGAGAGGAAGGGAGAGGGAGAGAGAGATTAGAAACATCAATGATGAGATAGAATCATTGATCAGCTGCCTCTTGCATGCTCCCTCTTGGGGATCAAGCATACAACACAGGGATGTGCCCAGACTGGGAATCGAACCGTGACCTCCTGGTTCATAGGTTGATACTCAACCACTGAGACACACTGGCCGGGCAATACACATTTTAAATATTATAAAAACTGAGAAATAAATTATACAATGCATACTAAAAGATACCTCTAAGGTAATTGAGATGAAAATTATATAGTCAAATAGAATTAACATATCAATTTTTATAATAACTTAAAAAACAAATAGGCTGCTTATCATGTTACATTGCATCATTATAAATTACATAATAAAATAATTATGAAGTGAGAGATATGGAAAAAGGTGTGTTATTGCTTTTCTAAATGTGTGTGCCTGCATCTTCTGATCTCTGATATTCAGCTTTTACATATAAATAAAAGTGAATGATTCAGAAATAACTCCATTAATAACTTTATTTTGGTATATTTAATGGAAAAGGATACCTATTGTTAAAAATGAATTGGGCCCTGACTGTTGTGTCTTAATTGGTTGGGCATCATCACATGCACCAGGAGGTCCCTGCTTCGATTTCAGTCAGGACACATGCCGGGCTTGTGGGCTCGATCCCCAGTAGGGGGCGTGCAGGAGGCAGTCAATCTGTGTTTCTCATCAATGTTTCTTTCCCTTTCCTCTCTAAAGAAAAAATCAATGAAAATATTAGAAAAAAAAGAATTGGTTTTAGAGCTAGCTATGACTTTTGTAATAGGAGGTAGGAATATAAAACTGGTTAAAAGATGTAATGAGAATTACATCTAATTAGAATAAAAATTTCATGATAGGATTTGACAAAATAGGTTTTAAACTTTCACAATGAATAATTCACACTTAATCTAAAATAATTTGTATGCAGTTTTTGTCTGTGGGTTTTATGGAGATAATTTGAACAATTTGGTAGCCCTGGAAAATATTTGTTATATGTAAAAGAATCAGCCTCCTTACTTGATACTGTTTCAGCTCTTTAAATGTGCTTTTTCTTCAAGCTAATAAATATTCAAGGAGTGAATTTTGGGAATTGCTGTGGAAAATGACTTATATTTAAATACTTGAAACAGTCGAGTTTATTAGATGTTTCTTATCAGTGGTCCCTTACTTTGCTCTATTAGATTCTCCCAAAGAGCGATGCATTTTTGGACAGTACAGCATGGAGGTGGAGTGTGTGGAGATAGAAGAGACAAAGTTCTTTAAATGAAACTGCTCTCAATTGCCCATGAACTATACCAGCCGTGGGCAAACTACGGCCCGCGGGCCGTAGTTTGAAATGAATAAAACTAAAAAAAAAAAAAGACCGTACCCTTTTATGTAATGATGTTTACTTTGAATTTATATTAGTTCACACAAACACTCCATCCATGCTTTTGTTCCAGCCCTCCGGTCCAGTTTAAGAACCCATTGTGGCCCTTGAGTCAGAAAGTTTGCCCATCCATGAACTATACTGTATCAGAATTTCGAAAGCCCTGTTAGGGGCCAGAATATCCCATTTTGAACTGTTGGAAAAATATGTAAGACTGAAAAGGACAAGAAGCTATATAGTGGGTAGTCTGTGACACCTCAATTATCATTATAAAAGCTTCCCCAAATATTTTTTTGACTTGTCCTTTTTTTTTGAGGCCCTAGAGTTTATTACACCTCCAGGCAATGCATTATAAATTTGGGTGGAAGTGGAAGTTTTACCCCTTTTTTTGAACGAGGGTAGGGTCTCTTTTGAGAGAGGAAAAAATACATATGAAAGGTGATCTGTTAATTGATTCTTGGAAAGTTTTCAACTGTCCCTTGTGTAGTCTTTTTGAAGATCTGATAAAACCAAGAACTTAAGGCAGCAACAAAAAAAGCTTTTTATAGTTTATTAATTTACTTATTAATTTACTCTTCAGTTGTCAGTGAGAATTACTTTGAAGTTATATGGAGAAAGGTCAAGGAATGCTTTTAGGGAACTGTATGAGATACAGTTTGCCCACCTTTAAATGTTACTAATGTGTGGATCTTTCAGGTTTGTCATAGTGTATTGAGCAGAGGAAGCTTTGTTGGTTTATGATGTTCAACTAATTGCAGATTTAAAAAATATATTTTTACTGATTTCAGAGAGGGAGAGAGCGATAGAAACATTAATGATAAGAGAGAATCATTGATTGGTTGCCTCCTGCACGCCCCCTACTGGAGATCGAGCCCACAACCCCTAGCTTGTGCCCTGACCAGGAATCAAACCATGCCCTCCTGATACATAGGTTGATGCTCAACCTGTGATTTTATTTTTTTAGAGCAGTTTTAGGTTTATAATAACTGGGCAGAAAGCAGAGTTCTCATATGTTCACTGCTGCTACTCCCAACCTCTCATGCTCTCGACATCCTGCACCATATTCTTAAAAATCTATGAATATACATTCATACATCATTCTCATTTTAAGTCCCTAATTTACATTAGGATTCACTCTTGGTGGTGTACATTGTATGGGTTTTTGACAAATGTATAATGAATGTGTTCATCATGTTAGTATCATGCAGAATAGTTTCACTGACCTAAAAATCCTCTGTGCTCTGCTTGTCATCCCTCCTGCTCTTTTAATCCTTAGCAGCCTCTGAATTGTTTACTGCCCCCATAATTTTGCCTTTTCCAGAATGTCATATAGTTGGAATGTAGCCTTATCATATTGGCTTCTTTCACTTATTAATAGGCATTTAAGGTTCCTTCATGTCTTTTCGTGACTTGATAGTTCATGTCTTTTTGTGCTGAATAATATTTCACTGTCTGGATGTACCACAGTTTATGAATTCACCTACTGAAGGACATTTTGGTTGTTCCCAAGTTTTGACAATTGTGAATAAAACTGCTACAAACATCTGTGTGCAGATCTTTGTGTAAACATAAGTTTTTATCTTCTCTGAGTAGACGCCAAGGAACATAATTGCTAGATCATATGATAGTGAAGAGTATGTTTAATTTCAAAAGAAACTGCCAAACTGTGTTTCAGAGCAGCTGTACCATTTTGCATTTCCACCAGCAGTGAATGAAAGTTTCTGTTCCTTCACATCTTCACCGACATTTGGTGTCTGCATATGTTTTTTAATAATTTGTCCTGGACAACTTTTGAAATTTGTGCATAGAAAACATCTGCATTTTCTTTAATATCTGTCTAGTAGCATAGATGTGCTAGTTTATTTAATCGGCCACATGGGTTGTTTCTAATATTTTCCTTATAGAAATGATGCTGCTGCGTGCAACCTTGTCACTTTTCTATGTAAGGCAGATTCCTAGAAATGGGATTGCTGGGTCATAGGGTTTAAATATATTTATGTTATAAAATTGCCCTCCCTAGGAGTTGTATCAATTAGTATTTTTTTGCCCTGGCCAGGTAGCTCAGTTGGTTTAGAGCTACATCCTGATGATATACCAAAGTTGCAGGTTCAATCCCCAGGCAGGGCACATACTAGAATCAACCAAAAATGCATAAATAAGTGAAGCAACAAATTGATGTGTTTTTTTTCTCTTTAAAAAACAAAACAAAACAGTATTAAAAATGTTTTATGAGTTTATTTGAGTCAAACTGCAGACATATGCTGGGGAGAAGATTTCAAATGCTCTTCAAATTAGTATTCATAACAGTAGTGTGTGAAGGGCCTATTTTCTTACAGCCTTATGTTTTTGCCAACATAATAGGTGAAAAAATCTCTTGGTATAGGTTGAGTATCTTTTCGTATTTAAGGTCATTGCATTTCTTTTTCTGTGATTTATGTGTTTCCTGTCTTTGGGTCATTTTCCTGTTAGATTTTTGGAACCCTTAAAATATTAGGAAGATTAGCTTCTGGTAATGTTGCAAATATTTTCCCTCAGTTTAACATTTGAATTTATAGAACTCTGAGTTTGAACCTGGTTCTGTCTGATTTTATAGTCCATTCTTTTCATCACTATAATTGTCCTGCTTCACATAATCCATGCTTTACATTGCTGAAATGATTTGCTTGTAACTATTATTTAATGCATCTAGCATTGAAGAACTGCCTTCCAATATTATCTCCCCCCAAATAGACGCGTCATCAGCGAGGAGATACACATCCTCTAACTTTAGAAGAAATTTTGGATGAAACACAACATTTAGATATTGGACTCAAGCAGAAACAATGGCTAATGTCTGAGGTAAGAATAGGCTTAAAATATTGTAAAAAAATTAGTTGATTACCGTGAAATATATGCTGTAACGAGGGTTTTTAATATACTGAAAGTGGTAATTGCTTTTACTTTTTCATAAAAGAATTGGTATAGAGTGTTTTGTAAACATAACATCTTTTAAGATTATTTGATTTTCATATAATCTTACATATCTTTAAAAATGTCAAAGACTTTAGCATAAAAGTTATAAAAAGTCAGCCATTGTATTCCATTTATTTTTGTTTTTTAATTAAAAAATATTTTTATTCAGAGAGGAAGGGAGAGGGGGAGAGAGAGAGAGAAATATCAATGATGAGAGAGAATCATTGATCAGCTGCATTTTACCTTTACTAGGTAATCATGAACATTGTGTATGTAAACACAGCATTGGAAGAAAAGGAACCCCAAACCAATCACTGACCATACTAATTTGGAAATGGATAGCAATTTAAAAATTCAGATATTTGCTTCTTTTCTGTTTAATTATGAAATCACAATTAAGAAGACTGTTTTCTAGGACCAGTGCTATATTTTAAAGACCAAATGTAAAATTCTTGAAATATAATTCAATTAATTTATTTTACCAAGCGAATGTTGTTCTTGATTTTCATAATATAAATGAACCAGTTAATCACTATCATTGTATTAATGATATACAAATAGGGGTAATCCACATTTAAATTTTGTTGCTAGACCTAATCTTGGAATTTCACAGACTACAGATATTAAAGATTACATTTATTACTATTTTACTTTCCCTCCTTTGTTTCTTTTTGTTCTCCTTTCAGGGTCAGGCTGGCAACTGCAAAAGAAAATAGGGTTGCTCTTTCTTTTTTTTTTTTTTTAAATATATTTTATTGATTTTTTTTACAGAGAGGAAGGGAGAGGGATAGAGAGTTAGAAACATCGACGAGAGAGAAACATCTATCAGCTTCCTCCTGCATACTCCCTACTGGGGATGTGCCCACAACCAAGGTACATGCCCTTGACCGGACTCGAACCTGGGACCCTTGAGTCTGCAGGCTGACGCTCTATCCAGTGAGCCAAACCGGTTAGGGCAGGGTTGCTCTTTCTTGAAGAGTTTTCTTCTGATATTTGCTGTACAACAGAACTGACTAGGAACATAATCATATTCAGTAATTCCTATATTCCTGCTCAGTTTCATTCTTATATTCACTAGCTTGGTCCTTTTCATTTCGTTCCACAGTTGCTAGCTAGTGCCATTTGATACCAAGTGGGGCAGACTGACTGTTGATATCTTCATCCCAGGGTAGTGTTTATCATATAATGGCAATATGCAATAAACTAAACTTTGAGGATAGGGTAGGCAATACCCAGTTCACTTTGTCTATTAATGTTAATAGCTGTTTTATTGATTCTTACCTTTGGTTTTCCAAAAGAATATGGGTATAGCTTTCTTCAAAGTAGTTGTGATAAAATGGTTTATTTCTCATCCAAATAATTTATATAATTAATAAAGTTTCTTTTATAAAAAGTGGTGAGCACCATGCTGATCTCTGTAGTTTATTATTTTGGATCCTGGATGTCCAGTATTTTAGATCCAGTTGATATTCATAAGATGCTTTTAATTTGCCATTAATTGGGTATTATATTTTTAAAATAATTAGTAGAATTTAAGAAAGTATATATGAGCTTTTCTTTTGTTAATATATTCAAATTGTGTCACTGTTACAGGCATTAGTCAATAATCCCAAAATTGAAGTAATAGATGGGAAGTATGCCTTCAAGCCCAAGTACAACTTAAAAGATAAGAAGGCTCTGCTTAGGCTCTTAGATAAGCATGACCAGCGAGGCTTAGGAGGAATTCTTCTAGAAGACATAGAGGAAGGACTGCCCAATTCCCAGAAAGCTGTCAAGGTAACTTCTCTTTTCTTTCTATGCCTTAATATGATTTGAATTAATAATGTCATTTTGGTTTTAAAAAAATAGCAAGAATTTTTAAATTTTTATTTTTATCTTTGCCTGAGAATATCAGACAGAGAGAGAGAGAGAGAGAAAAGCATTGATGTGAGAGAGAGACATTGATCTGTTGCCTCCCATATGAATCCTGACCCGGGTTGGACCACAATCATTTGGTGTACAGGACAATACTCCAACCAACTGAGCCACCTGACTGGGGCTAAATTTTTATTTTTACAGCCTCTATCATATATACTTGGAGTTGTGGTAGGACAGTTGAAAATTTGAAATTTGTACTTGTGCTACAGAGCACAGCCATTTTTGTGTACCTGTGACAGCTCCCTTTTGTGGTGGTGGTGTGTGTGATTTTTTTTTAAAATATATTTTTATTGATTTCAGAGAGGAAGGGAGAGGGAGAGAGAGATAGAAACATCAATGATGAGAGAGAATCATTGATTGGCTGCCTCCTGCACTCCCCACGCTGGGGATCGAGTCCGCAACCCAGGCATGTGCCCTTGGCTGGAATCGAACCCGGGACCCTTCAGTCCGCAGGCCAATGCTCTACTCACTGAGCCAAACCAGCTAGGGCTTTGTTTGTGATTTTTTGACTCTTCAGAATGTTTCTGGAAGGTTTTGCCCTGGCTGGGTGGTTCAGTTGGTTACAACATTGTCCCATACATCAAAAGGTGGCAGGTTCCATTCTAGGTCAGGCACAATACAGGAGGCAACTGATGTATGTTTCTCTTGCATTGATGTCTCTCTCAAAAATCAATAAAAACATGCTTGGGTGAGAATTTTTTTTTTTTTTTTTAAATGTGCTGCACTTAGTTCATCTCTCTTTTTTTTTTTAATATATTTTATTGATTTTTCACAGAGAGGAAGGGAGAGAGATAGAGAGTTAGAAACATCGATGAGAGAGAAACATCGATCAGCTGCCTCCTGCACATCTCCCACTGGGGATGTGCCCGCAACCCAGGTACATGCCCCTGACCGGAATCGAACCTGGGACCTTTCAGTCCGCAGGCCGACGCTCTATCCACCGAGCCAAACCGGTTTCGGCAGAATTTAAAAGAAAGTCATACGGATTACATTTCCAGTTTAAATTTGGAACTCACATGGAAAGGCTGCTCTATTCTTCATAGTTACTGATGATCGATGCTAACCTGTAAGCAGGTTCATTATTTTTGTTACCTCTTGGAAAAAATTGCTCCTTTCTCTCCTCTACCTCTTGGTAATTCAGTTACGTGTTATCCCACAAGTTTGAGGCTCTGTTTATATATATTTTTTCAACCTGTTTTTTGTTTGTTCTATTGATCTATTGTTAAGTCCACTAACTTTTCTTTACTTCCAATTTGTTAAGCCCAATTAGTGAATTTTTTATTTATGATAATGTATTTTTCATTTCTACACTCTTCATTCTTTATGGGTTTTTTTTTACATTTCAATTAATATTTTATTAATTTTTAATTTTTTAATATTTTAATTTGAAATAATCTCATACATGTAAAAAAACCTATAAATTACTACAGCATATTATATGTACCTTTCACCCAATTTCTTTTTTTTTTAATTAAGTCTTTATTGTTCAGATTATTACAGTTGTTCCTCTTTTTTCCCCCATAGCTCCCCCCCCCCCACCCCCCGCACTGTCCTCATCCATAGGTGCAGGATTTTTGTGCAGTCTCTTCCTGCACCCCCCACACCCCTTTTCCCCCCAAGAATAATCAGTCCACTCCCTTTCTATGCCCCTGATTCCATTATAATCACCAGTTTATTCTGTTCATCAGATTATTTATTCACTTGATTTTTAGATTCACTTGTTGATAGATGTGTATTTGTTGTTCATAGTTTGTATCTTTATCTTTTTCTTCTTCTTCCTCTTCTTAAAGGATACCTTTCAGCATTTCATATAATACTGGTTTGGTGGTGATGAACTCCTTTAGCTTTTTCTTATCTGTGAAGCTCTTTATCTGACCTTCAATTCTGAATGATAGCTTTGCTGGATAAACTAATCTTGGTTGTAGGTTCTTGGCATACATCACTTTGAATATTTCTTGCCACTCCCTTCTGGCCTGCAAAGTTTCTGTTGAGAAATCAGCTGACAGTCATATAGTTACTTCCTTGTAGGTAACTGACTGTCTTTCTCTTGCTGCTTTTAAGATTCTCTCTTTGTCTTTTGCTCTTGGCATTTTAATTCATGGTGTGTCTTGGTGTGGTCCTCTTTGGATTCCTTTTGTTTGGGGTTCTTTGCGCTCCTGGACTTGTAAGTCTATTTCTTTCACCAGGTAGGGGAAGTTTTCTGTCATTATTTCTTCAAATAGGTTTTCAATATCTTGGTCTCTCTCTTTTTCTGGCACCCCTATAATTCGGATGTTGGTACGCTTGAAGCTGTCCCAGAGGCTCCTTACACTATCTTCGTATTTTTGGATTCTTTTTTCATTTTGCTTTTCCGGTTGGGTGTTTTTTGCTTCTTCCTATTTCAAATCTTTGACTTGATTCTTGCGATCCTCTAGTCTGCAATTGGGAGTCTGTATAATATCCTTTATTTCAGTCAGTGAATGCTTAATTTCTAGTTGGTCCTTTTTCATAACCTCGAGGGTGTCACTAGATTTCTTGAAGGTTTCACTACATTTATCGGCGATCTCACCAGTCTTTTTGAGGGTCTTACTAAATTTATCAGCGGTTTCTAGAAAGTTCTTGAAAAACCTTAAAAGTGTGGTTTTGAATTCTGTATCCAGTAGTTTGCTTTCCTCCATTTCTGTCATTTGTGGCCTGTTTCTCTGTCTCCGCACTTTTTATGCTTTCCTGTGTTGGTAGAGTGGCTTTCTGTGCTAGGTGTCATATAGGGCCCAGTGGCTCAGCCTCCCCAATTACCTGAGTGGACACTCATGGTGCACCCCTTTGTGGGCTTTGTGTACAGTCTTGTTGTAGTTAAGCCTTGATTGTTGTAGGTATCACTGGGAGGAATTGACCTCCAGGCCAATTGGCTGTGAGAATCAGCTGTGTCTGCAGTGGGAGAACTGCTGTTCTGGAGACACCCTTATGGGGCAAGACTTGTTTCAATGGGGTTTTGGTGCTCACTGAGTCTGCCCCCTGAGTGTGTCCCTTATGGATCTAAGGAGTTGTAATCTGGATGGTCCCACTCTGACCACTGGGTACACTGACTCTTGGATCTCTAAGGAGGTGCTAATTTAGCCTCTGCCTGAGGCTACCCAGCAGGAGCTATGGAAAGATCTGCAGATTCCTCTTCTTTGTTTGGGGTTTGGAGGCGCACAAATGAGGCCCAGCTGTGAAGCAATGCAAGCTGCTGTGGGACCTTGGGCCTTCTTTTGGAAGTTCTGGGTCTCTCTGACCCAGCTGCAGTTTGTTAGGTAATTTTTAGATTGCAAAGGGCCAGGCCTTTCATTTGCAAAAGCCTGTGCTTGCAACTTGGGTGGGGCGGGGTCTCGGGATCAACAGGGCAGAGCAAACATCTATGGCTGATCCTCAGTCCTACCCTAAGAGGCCCCGGGTCTCAGTGTCCCCGTAATCGCTGGAAGCACCTCTGAGAGAAAGCCGCCCTCGAGTTCCGCCAATGCCAGACAGTCCAGTTTCTCCCTGTATGAGTCTGGGTCCCCAGAGACTCACCCGGAACTGGAATTCAGAGCAGTCGGGAGCTTGAGACTCCCTCCCGATTGAAAATGACAACCGCATCCTCAGTTGCCAGCCCTTTCTGCCTGCGCCTCCGTACCTCTGCACTCCACCTCCGCTGCTCCTCTGAGTCTCAGTGTGCTTTTCTCTTTCCTTCTAGTTGTAGAATTTCCACTCAGCCAGCCTTCCTGTGGTTCTGGATGATGTCCGTTTTGTCTTTTAGTTGTATTTTTGAAGTGGTTGTTTGAGGCAGCAATTTCCGGTGTTTACCTATGCCACCATCTTGGTTTCCCCCTTTTAAGATTTTTAACTTAAAAAGTTTACTGGTAAGCTTAACCTGCAGAAATGCTGCAAATAAAATGTGTCCAAAGGGTATAAATTATGTACTTTATAGATGTTAAGAACATCGAACTACTGAATTCTAGCATAACGGGTGAGAGTGCTAGGTGTGTTTCCTGCTGTTCGTTTGTTTTTCCCTCCCAGTTTTCATAGGGACCAGCATTACTATGCAGTAGGCTTTTCATAACATTCTTAAGTAGAACAGTGGCATCAACTGGTAATTGCTTATTCTATTTTAAACAATTTTGTAAAGTTACTCTGACACCTTTTCTTTAGTGGCTGTGTTCCCTAAGGATTAGAGCTTAACAGGTCATGAAAAGCACAGTCTATTTTATTTTTAGGAGGGATTATTTCTAAATTGTTTGAACCCAGAATGTTTATTCTGTTCTTACTACCTGGGTGCAATGGAGTCTGCTTTATTATTTACAAAAATATTTTAAGCCATGTTATGAATAATTTACATAATAATAAAGGGATGGTGAAAAACAGGTTTATTCAACATTTTAATAAGGATTTAGCATAGCAAGCCTCTGTACCAAGTATATATTGGCAAACATCAGAAAGATGCAAGAATATTATTATATGTCTTTTTAGCAAAGTGAGATGGCAAAGATTCTTACCACACAGTATTGTATGATGAAGTCCTTCCTGTTGAATAACTAACTGGGTAAAAATACTTTATTTCCTTTATGTCTTTAGAAATATGTTGTTCACAATGATTTGTAAGCTTGAGATTATTCATCTGTGGTGGTGTCATCTAAGCACTTCTAGTTTGAGACCATTTCTGTGATGCATTTTACTGTCATTAGAGTCTGAAGCAGCGGTCGCCAACCTTTCAGAACTCATGGCCCACTGGTTGGCAACCACTGGTCTAAAGTGCTGCTCTTAGGGCTTTTTCATTCTTGTTCTTACTCATTAATAATAGTGAAACATCTCTCAGTTTTCTTGTCTTTGCTCTGAGTAGTAGAAAATAAACTCTGAATTGTCAGTTGCGCTCAAGAAAGGTGAAAGACAACGAAGTCTCCTTAGTCTTTTATATTTTCTTGTTGGATGATACAGTAATTTGGCCAATAAGAAAACTGAAACGTGGCTATTTCACTATAGCATTACAATTCTAGGTGATTTGATCATTCTTCCATTTTCTTATTTTAGCTTTTAAAACATACTTGGAAATAATTAAGGTTGTAATGATGAGTAAGTAGCAAAATATTTGAAGGTAGAAGGAAAAGTAAAAACACTAAAATACCCTACCATTTTTCTTAGATTAATAAAAAGTTCCCGTGGACCAAATTGTAATTGCCACACATACTGAATTTTTTCGGTTTCTTTTAAAATAGGTATTTTTTTCTGAACTTTAGAAGACCTCTAAGAATAAAGGTCTTGAAATAGCAACCCTTAATTATAGTCAGAACTGCTCAAAAAACTCAAGAACTGAAATTGATTTACTGAGGGTTTAAAAGAAATGGGAGTCCTTTGTTGTAAAAGAAAAAAAAAGGAAGAAAGAAAAATAATAGGGTGTTGGTAAAGTAATATGGAGTTAACTGAAAAATTTTTCTTTATCTTTAAGGCCTTAGGGGACCAGATATTATTTGTAAATCGTCCTGATAAGAAGAAAATTCTTTTCTTCAATGATAAAAGCTGTCAGTTTTCTGTGGACGAAGGTAAGCTTTTCTGTAATAATACTTTCTTTAGTTTGCAAGTATGTTACAAATTTAAGGTGACAAAATTTATAATATAATACAATTACAACTAAAATATTATAATACTGCTTTTATTTGTTTGTTTTTTTAGCATTGTCATCTCTTAGAACAGAGCTAATAACTCCTAACATTGATTCTCAGAACACAATTTGTAATTTGAAAGAGTTTAGGTTAATTGTAGCACTTTCAGTCATAGCATAGCAGTTTGTCTATATAGCATGATGCCTATATTTTATGATTTCTTATGCTTATAGTTCAGTTTTACCAAAAAAAGAGTTATTTCTTGATGATTTTATTTTTATAAATATTACTTCATATCTTGATATGAAAACTTTATGCAGGTTGGGAAAATGTTGTGGGTAACTGATACTATCTTAAGTAACTTGCTCTTTTGATGATCATATTGGATAAGGAGGGAGATTACTTTTTTCTTTTCTTTTTGATGGGAACTAGAGGTTTGTCTTTCTGAAGCATTGGGATGAACAGATAATTCCGTCCATGCTGTAATGCTAAACACACTTAGGATGGGATCAGATCAGTGGGATTTTGCCTTCACTGACAAATACATCAGTACTATTTTAAAAAACCTTGTAAAATCTTAAGCAACTTTTAGAAAGCATACTATTTTATATAAAATTGTAGCTTTGTGAAAGTATCACAATATTCAGGACTCTGAAAATTTTTAAGTTTCTTCATTTTATAGTAATTTTTCTTTGTTAAATTATTTAGAATAAATAATAGTTTTAACATAAATGAAAAAATAGATAAAACAAAAGTTACATGAACTATCATTATCCAGTGTATTATTATTAAGATTTTTCACGTCCCCTAAGGGGGACCTATCTCGCAACCCAGGCTTATGCCCTTGACCGGAATCGAACCTGGGACCCTTCAGTCCTCAGGCTGAGGCTCTATCTACTGAGCCAAACCGGCCAGGGCTTTATTTATTCTTAATGATATATACATGTGATAAAGACACTAAACAAAAACAGCAAGTGATTGAATAAGAAGGTATTCTAGTTTTCCATTGCTATGTACCAATTCACCCCAAATGTAGTGAATTCACCCAACAACTTATTAATAATTATCTTCATTCCATGTTTGGGCTCAACTGAGAGCAATTCTTACTTGGCATCTCTAAATATTTGTGTTTGCAGTCAAATGGCAGCTGGTGCTGAAGGCTCAGCTGTACACGATGTCTGATGACTGGCAGTTGACTGCTTGGCTGAGAGCTTGGTTGGGCTTTTCCATTTGACTCAGGCTTCTCACAGAAGGTTGGCTGGTTTCTGAGAGGGAGTGTCCCTAGAGTGAGCATTCTTAGAGACTAGATTACTGTTTATTATATAAGGATACAACTCAGGAGCAGCCAGATGGGAGGGATGCTTTGGGAATAATACGTGGGAAGGGGCAAGGATCTTTCTTGGTCTCTTGGAGCAGCGGTCGCCAACCTTTCGGATCTCACGAACCACCAGTGGTCCATGGACCACCCATTGGCGACTGCTGTCTTAAAGCACGCCATTTTCCCTCATCTTCATTTGTTCACCAGCAGCTCCAACATGTAGTTATTGATCTCATATTATATGCCTCATTTATCTTGCTAAATGTAGAGGATTTTGGATGTTAGAAACATCCAGACCTGTAGAGACTTTTTATAAGAATTTATTTGAGCCAAATAGAAGATAACACCTGGAAGTAAGATCTCAGTAGACTGAGAGAAAATTCTTCTAAGAAATGACAGTTTGTAGCAGCTTTTATGATTGGAACTAAGGAAGGTTATACATGAAGGGAAGAGAAAGCAAGGTGGGGGTTGGATTACAGGATAGTTAACAAGATGGTGTGTTTTCATCAGGGTGGTCACACTTTTAGAAGGAAGGGTCTGATAAGAGGCCTTTCAAAGGTAGGTATGTTAGACTGGATGCACAGAAACATGGACAGGGCTTGCTTAAGACAAAAGATAAAACCTTTATTGAAGAAGTTATATGATTGCCCATCATGACCTGCCCAGTTAGGAATTGATATGATCAGATTACCCTGTGAAGTTACTTTTCATAAAACTGTTTTTGTGGTGTTTTTTTGGTTCACAATGTGCTGGCTACAAATAGACTATACAGTTGTGATGCATTGGCAACTTATACTATATTATAAAAGCCTAAAATGCAAATCGACCAAAGGGCAGAATGACAGGTCACTATGATGCACACTGTTCACATGGGAGCAGATGCTCAACGCAGGAGCTGCCCCCTGGTGGTCAGTGCGTTTGCTGCTCCACCTAGAAGCCGGGCTCACGGCAGCATTAAGGAGCAGTGAGCAGGTGGGCAGTAAGGAGTGAGGTCCCGGACTGCGAGAGGGTGCAGGCCAGGCTGAACCGCCGCCCCCCCCCCCCCCCCCGGCCCCGTGCATGAATTTCGTGCACCGGACCTCTAGTATGTCATAATTGGTATTTTCCTTATGTGATAAAGAATTCTTTTTAAATATCTGAGAAATACAAAGTGCAGCTTTGATTTACAAAGGTTAATTATAATATATTCTATATACATTATATACTGTATGTTTCTAGAAAATCCAGTGTGTATTAAACCAATATAAAAGTAAGTTTTTAATGTAAAACAGTTGGGTTCTAGGCTCAGTTTATCATTGTAAATTGGTATTTTTCATTATTCTGTATACTTTCTAGGAAAGATGGTTGGGAGGAAGCAGGCTATTCGACCTTGGCAGTATTGATATTTATAGCTGAATAATGTTTTTTGGTGTTGGGGTTGTCACTGTACCCTATAGGATGTTTAGCAGCATCCCTGACTTCTTTAGATGCCAGTAGCATACTTTCCCTCAAATTGTGACAATCAAAAAGGTGTCAGACCTTACTAAATGTTCCCTGGGGAGCAAATTGCCAGGGTTGAGAATTCTATTAAAGGTACAACTTATGGCCCTGGCCCGGTTGCTCAATTGGTTGAAGCATTGTCCTGTACATCAAAAGGTTGTGGGTTCGATTCCTGGTCAGGGCATATGCCTAGGTTATGGGTTCGATTCCTGTTTGGGGTATGTAGGGGAGGCAACAGATAGATGTTTCTCACATTGATGTTTCTGTTTCTCTCTTCCCTCTCTTCCCCTCTTTCCACTTTCCTTACCTCTCTCTAAAAATCAATAGTAATAAAAAACTATATCCTCTGGTGAGGATTTTTAAAAAGTTACAGCTTATGTTTATAAAATAGGGAAAAATTAAGATAGATTGTCTTCTGACTTCTCTTTAAAAAATCCTTAGTTGATATTTTTCCATAGAGTGTAGGGGAAGGTCGGGGGGGGGGGGGTGCCGAGGGCGGGGGGGAGAGAGAGAGACATTGATGTGAGGGAAACACATAGATTGGTTGCCTCTTGCAGGCTCCCTGACCAGGGCTGCAGAACGAACCTTCACCCAGTTGCATGCCCTTTACTGGGAATTGAACCTGAGACCCTTTGGTCCTGGGCTGATGCTCTAAGCACTGACATACTGGCCAGGGTTCTTCAAACTTTTCTCATGCACTTTTTCATTCAAGCCATTCATTGATACAAGGGACATTAAAGTGAATAAGGTTTCTGTCCTTGAACTTATAGACTGAGGAAGGAATGACATGGGAACACATATAGTACAACATGCTGCATATTGTCATTATGGTCTTCATACAGTACTGTAAGGCCCTAGAAAGAACAGTCACCCACAGGAACCTCAGGGGTGAGGCACTGTTCTTTTAGTTGAAAGCGTCAGTATTTCATAAATCACTAATTTAAAAAAAACCTGAGTTTTTGTTAATTATGGAAAATGTGTGAGTTTCCAGAAAAGTCTCATTGAAACTTGATACATTCCTATGTAATAAAAGTGTAACATGCTAAGTGTCTAACTGCTCGACCAGTTGCTATGACGCACACTGACTGTCAGGGGGAAGACTCTCCGACTGGTAGGTTAGTTTGCTGCTGGGGTCTGGCCAATGGGGACCAGGCGAGAGGGCTGGACATGCCCTGGAGCCCTCCCGTGGTCCCTCCCCTGCTGGGTGGCCCCCATTGGCCTTGATCAGGACTGGGCGAGACAGCCCGATCGCCAGCCCAGCCAAGGGACCCCACCCGTGCATGAATTCGTGCACCGGGCCTCTAGTATCTTAATATTTGTCTTCCTATTTTTTTGTGTGTTTTGTATTTTACACCTCAAAGTTCTTTGTCTCGATTTTATTGATAAAGATTTTTGTTGTGGCCCACTAGGTGGCAGTCTTAGCTATACAGTAGAAATCTTATGTGAGCAAGTATTCAGTCTCTGAAGAATCATCTTTTATTCTATCTGTAATAGAAGCAAATATCCTAAAATGAGATATAGCATAAGTAAGGGGAGAGTTTACTGTATAGTAATTTTAAAAATCAAATAAATGAGTGAACACAGAATAGTTGGACCTAGGTATGTATCTAATTCACAAAGGCATTTAGTATTTCCTTAAATCAGGATCTTATTAATTTAGAGGCAGTATAAATGCAGTGGTCAAAAGGATGGTCTTAGTAGTCAAACTGTAGGTTTAAATCTTAGCTCTGCCCCTTACTAACTTAGGCGAGATATTTAACCCGTCTGCCTGAGATTCCTTATCTATAAAATAGGAATAATCGTACCTGTATCCCATGGTCCTTAAGAGGATTACGTGAGTTAATATAAATAAAAGTGCTTAGAGCTTAGAATGGAACCTGGCACATAGTAAGAATATTAGTAACAGTGGGGGAGTGGGTGGGAAGAGATCAACCAATGAACTTGTATGTATCTATGCATAATGTGTGGACACAGGCCGTTGTGGGGTGGTGAGGGCCTCGCGGTGGGATGGGAGCGGCCTGGAAGAGGTTAATTGGGTGGGGGGCGGGCGGGAGGAAGGCCCTTTGCAATATTTTCAATAATAAAGATTTTAAAAATAAATAAATCCTGAAAAAAAATAGTAACAATAACCTTAGCTGTTGTT